GAGCGCCGAGACTGCAACTGAGCGCCCGAGCCACTCCTTGCGATATGTTTTATAAATCTACCCCCGCTATTCCTTCCGTTTCCTCATATTTTCCTAACAATATTGTTGTTTTAAATAAAGATAAATGTATTGATAAATAGCACAGATTAATCAATAACTTTTAGGAATACAGAATACATCGAAAATATTTAAAAATCTAACAAGCAATACTCGATTTCCTAAAATCAGTAGTCCAGTGAAGCCACAAATCTCGTATGTACAACAACAAGGCACAAACACTGCATTAATTTGAGACAATCATTTTACCGCGTTTGTATTTTTCAAAATTGACTTCGTAGTGGTTCTTCTAATTGTAAACTACTCCATCTATCGGAAAGTGTATAAAATCCTATTAACTATCTTCGAATTTAATGTTTTTGTATTATTTATTTCAAATGTTTTTATTCACAATACCTTAAATAGATTTATACTGCATATCATAACTTAGAAGTGAGATTGAGGTTATTTAAATATTTACAAAAGAACTACTTTCAATCCAGACCACGAAACGTAGAATGAAACGCATTTACTAGAAACGTGTGACGTTTTAAGTTTCACATACTATTACTTTCAAAAATTAACTTTATTACAAGGATATACAGTGTAAATTTGTCGAATAAATTTAAAAGTCTCCGGCATAGCAAGGGTGAAGTTGAATGTGACGTGTCTTTAATGTCATCAAATCGCCAACAGAAAGTAATCAAAAATTAACAAAAACCCCCTTATTTGTGTTAAAGATTTATAGCAAACCTTTGCTATAAACATAACTCAACATGTATTCGGTTTTAACGAGAGGAAATGCGATATTAACCTATACTTTAAGTGTGTTGGCATGTTTAACATTTTTGTGTTTTCTATCCACTTTAACAGTGGATTATAGAACTGCCGCTCAAATGAACACTGTAAAAGTAGTCGTGTAAGTATACGTAATCATAAAGACCTCGTAAATTAACATTTACATTCATTTTCATTTCATTGTCACAGAAGAATTAACTACCGACCTTAAGTTTTAGACGCTACTAAATGCTTGCTACTGGTACTAAACTGACTGTACATTGTCATTATTGAAATATTCATATGTTAAAACAACCATAGTTGACCTAAAAATAAAACAATATCAAATTTCCTTTGCAGTAAGAATGTTCCAGATTATGGTGCTTCTAGAGAAAGGAATGATCTTGGTTTCCTTACATTTGATCTCAAAACAGATCTCTCTTATCTTTTCAACTGGAATGTGAAGCAGCTGTTCCTATACCTGACAGCTGAATATATTACACCAAACAATGAACTAAATCAAGTCGTACTTTGGGACAAAATCATTTTAAGAGGAGAAAATGCACTATTAGATTTTAAGAATATGAACACAAAATACTACTTCTGGGATGATGGTAATGGTTTGAAGTAAGTACTCATACTTATTTAAAAATGTAATGAAACTGGAGCAATTTTAGTAAGAAAATGCTTTCTGTATCTATTAAATCAATGATTTGTTGAAATTTAACCTTTTTAGTAAAATTTATTTAGATAATTGATTTATGCATGTTTTAGACTTGGCCAGTTGCATTTGTAGTGATATTCACTGGTGCCATACATACACTATTTGTTCATTTTAATTCAATTTAAAACAGTTACTGACTTAAAATTATACATTTCAGGGGTCATCAGAATGTAACGCTCACTCTGTCATGGAACATTATACCAAACGCTGGTCTTCTGCCGAACATTGAAGCCCTCGGACAACATTCATTCAAGTTCCCTACAGAGTATACACAAACTAGAGTATGATTCTCCTATGTACATGTATGAACTTCTCCTTTCTTACTATACAGTGAGAAAGGATGTTTTGTTGTGTAGTTGGGGACTTTTGAGATATTTAATAAGATCTTCTAATATATTAATTTGTGTAAAATGGAATTTGATTTCAACTCCTACCTATTAACATTTTTACCCTTTAAATAAATGTCAACTTATAGCAACCAGTTAGAACTTACCGCAGTTTACATGCATTTTATAGTATAGTTGCTATTATGCAAGCGACAAGTTTTGTTGTCATCATTTAGTCTTGTTTATTTATCTCCTATCCTCCAGACTACTCATTTAAATGCAATAGGACAAGGATAAAAAACATACTATGTAATATTTTAGAGTTGTATATTTGTCAAATACATTTTAAGGATACATTATATTTTAGCTCTACATGTTGCTACGGCAGACAAAACATACTATATCATCACTTTCATTATCTACTAAGGTTACTAAAACTGTAGATTTCATGGAACATCTACATGTAAAACAGTATCTTGAAAACATCATTTAGTGATGTAACCATTTCGATTAATAAAAAAATTTAATTTAAAGTAAGGGACAATACTAGATTCACAGACTTACGTACGAACGTAGAAATATAAATCTTCGGAAATTCCTTACTTATATGCATACAAGCCGAAACAGCATTTTCAAAAACTACAATTTAAAGTTTAGTGTAAGACCTCACATAAGCATACTTATGAGGTAAATATTTTTACATCCTTTGTTTTATATTATAATTAGATTTTAGAGACATAACTATTATTAACTAAAATACAGTTATAACAATATCTAAATTGTAGAACGCTAAACATCCAACAACGGTTCTCTCCCAGCATTCTTTAGCCGACCGACGAGACATCCTACCATCTACTTAATGATTCAAATAATTCTGTAAACAGTTATTGAACCCTAATATATAGTAAAATATTAACTACAGAACAATTTATAACGTAAAATACTTATCAAGGTATATAGTTCAAAACAGTAAATGTTCTATTTCATACTTTTCAATAATTTTTGTGCTTTCATAAGGTATAAAAATTCGTTTAAAAATAATTTTAACTTCAATTACCTTATATTGTTCTAATTTATCTTTTAAATTATATCTTGCCCATTTGCGCTTGTATTCCTTTAATAAATGTTTTAATTCCAGTCACATACTTCATGAATCGATATAAGAACGAGCAAAAATACTCACAATTAATTCTAGGATATTGTAAAACTATTTGGTTACACTCTATTTATTGAGGTAAGAAAATTTGTAATAACTACATACACGCGCCGCAAATAGCCTCAGAATGCGCCTTTTTTACTAAAAAAAAAAGTTGATTATTATTTGGGAAGTGTATAAACTGAGATTTAGCTCTAAACTTGCGCACAATGACGTCAGAGTTACACTACTTCATAAATAATCCAACCAAGTTTTAAAACGTTCTATCGCGTCACTAACTGTAACGAGGTGTCATGTTATTGTACACGCGTAGTACCGAAGCTTGTAAGAGGACGGTCATCATTACACACTAGTTCTCATCGCCTTAAGACATTAAAATTTTTAATACAAATGTTTTATCAGAACCAGTCCTTAATTTATTGCTTGTTGCCCATACAACGGTATGACAATATGAAATATTCTAACCAGAATAGCTACAATACATTCTACTTAGAACTTCTAACATCCAAAGCAGATACGAACGCGTGAAAAAATATTGCATATTAATTATTTACTTACTAAAGAGATGTATTCAGCGAATCAATCGCAACAACTCTTACAATCAATCGAATGCAAAAGCATTTACACGATGTTAAGTTATTTAGTATAATAATTTCAAGATGGAAGTATGAAGACCAGAGTAAAGTAGAGAATGGAGTAAACACAGTACTAAATATGACCAGTGCGTGACTAGTACCCAGTATCTCGATGTTAAAAAATAATAAAAAAAACTTAGGATATCACTATGGATGTCTATAACTCAAAAACTACATCAACATAATTGTTAGTTAAATACTAATTTTTAAAACTTTAAACAATAATTATTTTTACCTTTACATCCCAATATAGTTCTGATTACTATTAATGTTTTAATTGTTCCATTAAATTCATACATGTTATGATTTACTTTTTTAATATCTCGTTGAGCTCATATAACTACGTAAATAATTCCTTAGTTCAAAAGGATCAAACTTTCATATCAATAATCACTCTGTAATATAACTTGTTAACAGATAATGGGTCCCACAAAGTACTGCGCTTACACACACAAAGTAATCTAATTTAAAACTAGACGAAATTCGAGCAATCTAAGATCCTGAGTTAACAAAAACTAAACACCTTAGTACAGTGACATTCAAACTTTATGCCGGCACGGAATTTTATACAAACAAGACACCACTAATAATAATCTTGAGATGTCACTTTTCTTCGCAAAATATGTATTAGTATATGTTATTAAAAGAGCACAACTTCCGTCTATTTTTTCTAAATTTGAAAATTAAGTTCTTGCAGCTTGTCAAGCCGGCATAAAGTTTGAATTCTATAATAGCATTCAACAGGCAGTGGTCACCGAGTGCATTTTCATTTTACTATTATTTATCAACCATTATGTAGATATTATTAATTAAAAATATAATTTAATATAGGTCATAAGTTCATAAGCTTTTATGCTAAAAAATACAGCTTCATATGGTACCATAATAAACTAAAGTCAAACATTTAAGCACCTGTGAATGGCAGTTTCTAGGCAATATTATTTATGGCTGTTTCTGTTGGGCTAATTGGCCCCCAAATCAATCAATTAAAGAAACAAAAATATTTATTGACATCCTTCTTACAATTGTTATTACACTTTTACTTTAAACTCATTAAAGAATAAAATTATTTTGCGTATACAATCACAAAAGTCATATACTCATATACTTTTTTGTGTAAATTGCTACAATTCGTTATGTAAAGATATAACAGTATAGAATACAACCTATTCAGAGTATTTTAGTAATCCATTATAATATCTTTTTAATTAAAGTAAATATAAAAATTCTTATCATTGTATAAGTAATGGTAAAATGAAAATTGCCCTCAATTGGTGACTTATAAAATTATATCCTTCCTGCCTGCACATTAAATAAACACTTGTGTAGTGTTTTAAACATTCTTAAGTATAAATACAAATAATTTGAACATGAAGCATACTTGAATATATAAAAGAAATTAAAATAAACAACAAAATTAGTAAGTCATGGTTCAGTATTCAGATAGACTTTGCACACAGATAATTTTGAAAAATCATACAATTAGTTTCGTGATATCTATGTTTATTTTAGTTGAATTTTTAGCTAGAAGAAAATAATCTATTTATCGGTTTCTAAAACTTCCGGGTAATCAAAATTAATAGGAACAAAGTTGCAATAAAACTGTCATCATAGAAATTTTTTCATGAATTTAGAAATTAAAGGTATTCTGTATGCAAAAGTTATTGTGGAAATATAAAGGCAAATGTGCCGACAGGAGGTTCGTTTACGTTTGTAAGTGGCGGGCGGTGTGGGCACGTCACGCGGTGGGCACAGCCGGGCCCTCCGTTTGTACATGCTTGTCTTCTGTAGGAGGAGCCAATGATCGCTCCGATCCATACCGCCTCGATAGATTCAACATCTCCCGAAGACCCTGGAAGTTTTATTAAACAATGCTTTTATCTGATTTACGCAATATTTGTCAAAATATACCATCTTACTAAATCAGTAGAACCTTGATAAGTTAAAGTCCAAGGGAAACATAAAATATTTTAAGTTATAGAGGTTTTAAGTTATCAAGGGTCTATGCTGTAGAGGTTTTGGGCTCTGATGGAAAGGGAACATATTATTTTTTTGAAGTTATAGAGGTTTTTAAGATACCGAGGTTTGAGTTATCGAGGTTCCACTGTATTACAAATTTAGATGGATGGATTTGTGTTACATATCTCCAAAACAGGCCAACTAATCTAACTAAATTTTGTTATTAACATAATCTGGAACACATAGGTTGCTTACTAAGTTTTTTTTAATCCAGCCCAGATAAAGTCGTAACCAAAAGCTAGTTATTTGTATTTCTACTGGCTGTTGCTCACGACTTCACCCTCATAAAATTAAAAAAATAATAAAGAAATGCCTATGTTACACACTGATAACATAGCTTTTTTATGTTGATAGAATTTTTGTAATCAGCCGCATATTTTTGTATTTATTTCAATACATACAAAAATACAAATCTTTCCTCTTTATAATATTACTATAGAAGTAAAGATAATGGTACCTAATTGGTAAATGTGTTGTTTGTGTGTTGTAACCAGTGAAGCACTATTTAGACATGACAAATCTGTCACAATTTAGACAGAATTACTTAGTTTATAGTCATAAGATCATAAGATCATTACCTTGTTCTCAGTAATAAGCCTTTGGTACAATTCCTCTTCTTTCCTTGTGTCAGAATTTTCATCCAAGGTAACAGCTTTGTACATGACGCTAGTCATCTCATTAATTCTTTCAGCTTGTTGACGAATCAACTGTTGAAGGAAATATTAACAATATTAAACAGCCTAACTGGATGGATGGATTTTTTTCACCCCATAACTCCAAAATGGCGGTATAGATTTGGATAAAACTTGTTACAGATGTTGCACATAGTCTGAAATAATGCATAGGCTACTAAATAAGTTTTTAGGAGTCGCAGATGACAGCTACTATTAAGTAATAATATAAATGGTATATTTATTACCTCTTGCTGTTTATCATTAATAGCAGATGTAAAATCTATTCGCGATTCCCATATTCTCTTCTCAGTGTGCTGACGATATTTGGTCATAATTAGCTCCAAAGCCCTTCTGTGATCTTCCAATGCAGCTCGGAGTTCCCCATTCTCTTTTTGTACATCACGCATAAGTCGAGATTCTCTTTCAATGCTTGCAATTAGTTCTCCCCGAGGTCTTTCTCTTGAGGCTTCATTGAGAGTGTCCACTTCTTCTTTGTACTATAGCAAACAATTACTGATATTTATTTGCTGTACAATTAATAGACACAAAAAATGAATCCATCTATTTTAAACATACAAATTATGATTTTAAACATTGTTTTTTCACAATTTCATGTTTGGCAATTATTTTTTGTTTAAATTTGTTGTATTCCAAAATATTATATGATAAACGAAAGTTAATAAAAAAATAAACTAACAAAGGATCAAGGATGTAAGTACCTGTTTCATGGTATGAATTTGTCTATATGCCGATTGAGTCTCAGTCAATAACGCATCCGCTTCTGTTTCCCGTTCCTTCAGTCGGCCCGCCAGCCTTTTAGCATCCAAAATAATTTGTTGAATGGTCAGTGACATCTAAAAAAAACCAACACCTTAGGAAAACTCACTCACTTCACGAACACACTGTTGTTAACTAACAATACGAACCCTGAATTCCAGAAAAAAATGTTTTGCGAATAGAGTATCATTTAAACAACTTTGAAACAGGGAGGCAAACAGCAATGTTAATTGATAAATCAAACGACGCACATCAGCTGTTTCGTGATTAGTGTTGGGCGGCCATTAGCTCTCATTTGAGAATTTGAGGTAATCCTAAAGTAATTATAAAAGAAAAAGTCCGACTTCTCAAAAACAAAACCACTTTATGTGCATAAACTATGCGTAAAGAAAAAGAGAAAGTCAAGTTTTTCCAAAATTGTAACTATTCGACTTGTCACGATTAATATTTGTGACATGACCTTGATTGTCTATGGTAAAGTTGAAAGGCATTCCTTCATAGACTTCATAGTCCAGCCCAGTTCTGCCGATACTAAAAAGTTTAATAAAAGTCTATGGAATTGGAAAAATTATATGATAGATGTGTGGTTGCATATTTTTTTACTTCTAAATTGAGTACTTTGTTAATTGTGACTTCGTTAATTCTTTCGTATTCCAGAAAATTTTAAAGCCACATACAAATACCTAAATTATAGAATAGAAAAGAATATAGAAAGTATAGAATTCTGTCTATAGTTTGTTTGATAATTCAGTAGGGATGGTTGAATAAAGTTGTGTGAATATTTTCAACTTTAGATTTTTACTCTCTTAAAAGATTAAAATAAAATGCACTGTTTCTTTCCATCCATTTCTTTAAAGTCAGATTAATAATAAGAAATACAGAACAAAATTAAAAAAATAAGAGGAAATAATAAGTTTTACTAAGAGAGTCGTGCATAATCTTTTTTGAATTTATCATTATTATTATCGTCGTCGCTATCACTATATTGTAACAAAGATAAGTAAATACTTAAATTATGTTCGATTAATTTTATGTTTTAACCGATTATCGATATTTCCCAGTTGTTCGATAGGCGCGTATGTCGTCACTATGATACCCGTTTATTAATTACGGGTATTTACTTTCATACAAATTTAATTTGATGCTTCATTTGTGTCACTTATCGACGATCTACATATATTATGGATGGATTGAGTAAAATCGGTTATGAATCTTTTCGACTTTCTTTTTTTTTCTCACAAGATGAAATCAATAAATACCTATGACCTATAGATCAAAATGAAAAACCCTTTATTTCAATTTCATTCCTTTATTTCAAGACAATTCAAGATTGAGTTATCCAGAACAAATACAAAGAATGAATTAAAAGATAAATATTACTAATACGATTGGACATAATCTACTTGGAATTTGTTATTATTATTTTTACTAGCTTTCACTATACTCACTTTTCAAACTGCTCCTTCGTTATATCAAATATTAATTTTAAATAACAAAACTTCCACATAATGTAGTTTAACATTCTAAAATTAAAGTGTTAAATATAAAAATCCAATTCGGTTTTAATAAATTTAAAGATTGACAGAAATAATTTTTAATCTGACTAATGTTTTTTATTTTATTTATTTACAATATTTACATACAATTATTATAATCCAATTATCTGACTTAGATACATGACTTGCAATTTATAGGCCTACTTATAATGATAAGTAATTTTGCCGTTATATTAGTCATTGTTACATGAATGTTACAGATAATACAATATTAATGTATACAAGCAAGATCTTTCTCCCAGTCTATTTTATGTTAAGTCCTCACCATCTCTTCTTTATAACACACAATGATTAGTAAAAAGTCATTGCCTACTCATAAAAGAAAAGTAAAAATTACAAGTTACTTATATTATAAATGCCAAAGTTTAGATAGATGGACGGATAGTTATAGTTTGCCGCCTAAATGCAAAAACTCTAGACTCGACTACGAGGGTGAATCAAAAAATTCTTGGAATCAATATTAAAAAATGCAAAAATTTAAATAATAATATTTTATTTTTCTACATAATCTCCCTCCAATGCAATGCATTTAGAATAACGCGTTTCTAACTTCCTTATTCCTTGTGAAAAAAAATTATTTTCTTGGCTCTCGAAAAAGTCCTCTACGGCAGCTATAACCGCGTCATTATCGTGAAATTTTGTTTCACGAATTTCCTCTTTTAATTTTGGAAATAAGTGAAAATCACTTGGAGCTAAGTCCGGAGAATATGGTGGGTGGTCAAGGAGATTGAAGCCAGCACAGCGGATTGCGTTGAGCGCAACTTCCGATCGATGAGCAGGAGCGTTATCTTGAAGGAACAACACGCCCAACGACAGTTTTCCACGACGTTTTTCTTTAATCGCTTCACGCACTTTCGGGATTAAATTTATAATTTAATCCCGAAAGTGCCTGAAAACCTTAAACCTTAATAGGGTCCAGTAATCGTCTGGCCTTTTGGCATGTACTCAATAAAAAAGATTCCTTCACTATCCCAGAACACAGAGGCCATAACTTTGCCAGCGGTAGGAGCAACTCGAAATTTCTTGACGGATGGAGAGGATGGCCGTTTCCAAGACATGCTTTGTCTTTTAGTTTCAGGATCAAAATGGTGGACCCACGTTTCATCCATGGTGACAAGACGACGGTAAAAATTATCCGAATCACGCTGGAACATTCCGAGATTACGCTTGGAAATTTCCAAACGTCGCTTTTTGTTTTCTTCGGTTAACATTCGTGGCACCCATCTTGCAGACACTTTTTTGAACCCCAGTGAATCAATTAAAATGGATTGAATGCTACCAAAAGATATCTTTAGGGTCTCAGCTATATGTTTTATAGTCATTCTTCTGTCTTCCAAAACCAGATTCTCAACCTTTTTGACATTTTCTTCTGTAACGGAGGTTGAAGGCCGCCCAGAACGCGGGTCATCTTTACAGCTTGATCTACCTCTTTTACATTCAGCCACCCAGTACGCAACCGTAGAATAGGGTACAGCATCACCCCCTAATGTCTGCTGAATATCCAAAAAAATTTCCTTCGTAGACATTTTTTTCAAACTGAGATATTTTATCACCGCACGTAACTCACTCTTATCCATAATTTTGACTTATTAGCAACTCGTTGCACAAAAAAAAATATTATATGCGAACGAACTGACAAAAACAAGTGACAGTGTGCATAAATATAGTGTGATAGACACTCTTTAATTTGAATATCGAACTTGATCCAAAAAGGTTTCATATACATGCACTTCTAAGAACTTTTTGATTCACCCTCGTAGTTCTTAATAAGGCATAGATGTAAGTCATAGTACGGAAGAACACAAAGGCTACTTACTTATTTTAATTACACGCGGACGGTGTCGCGTACGAAAGCTAGTTGTTAATAATATCATACTAATCATATCATACTAATATTATAAATGCGAAAGTTTAGATGGATGGATGGATGTTTGTTAGTCTGTAGCCTAAACGGCTGAACGGATTTCGATAAAATTTGGTATAGATATAGAGGAAAGTCTGGAAGAACACATAGGCTATTCACTTTTGTTCTTTTTTAATTCTGCGCGGACGGAGTCGCGGGCAAAAGCTAGTTCATACATTAAGATAAAACTGTAATAAACATTCTCATTGGAATAAATATTCTTTTACTACTAGTCAACTTGACCACTGGCCGCCCCCCACCCCTCCTGGCTAGTGACGCCTAGGAAGTCTACATATTTGTACCGAAAAGACTTGCCGGAGGCAACAATATCGACTATTTACCAGAACTTATGAATGGATTCCTCGCGAGAATCAATAAAGAAACAATTGAAACCTTAATAAATTATGTTAGCAGTGATAAAACATTGAATAACCTTGAATAAATTGGTAAAAACCATTTTTACAATGAATCCGCTGAGTCATTAGTACACTGATGTCCACGTTGTTCGATTTGGCTGGTCGACTTGATAACACATTGTGTAATAACTATATTTATAGCAATAATATAAATATTTGACTGACGAAGATTTACATAATCTTATCTTGTGAATATTATAAATGCGATAGTTTTAATGAATGAATGGATGTTTGTTGTAGTTTAAGGTCTAAACGACGGAACGGATCTCAATAAAAAACCTAGATTAATGTAGATGATGGTTTGGAAGAACACGTAGGCTACTTTTGTTTTTTTTTATACCACGCTAGCTTTCGCCCGCGACTCCGTCTGCGTGAAATTAAAATTGTTTTATAAAATATAGTCTATTACTCAGCCTAGTTACTCGCTGACAACGTAGCTTATTAATGGTGAAAGAATTTTTAAAATCTGTCCAGTAGTTTTTGGGTTATTTCATTACAATAAAAAAAAAAAAAAAACAAAGTTTTCCTCTTTGTAATATTGGTGCAGATGGACGGGGATTTTATTATTAGTTAATTTTTACAGTCAGGTAAGAAATACCAAAAGCGCTAAATGCGAAAAACAAAAGTTTATTATGATATAAACAACCGACTAGAATATGTTACTGATTAATGTCCTTTATAGTCTGTGGTGTTTGATTTTGAACGTAAATCCCAAGGCGGAAAAATACTTATAAAGTTATAAATTAAGCCGAGTCATTTTAACGTCACATCCGCCTACTCCAAAGGACAACGTTAACGAACATGATTTTTGTTGAAATTGAAAATATAACTTACATAATCCTGGAAAAATATGTTGTAATTTTCATTTCTCAAAATTTGCCTTAAAAATTTCACAAAATCGACCTTCCGGTTTTTAAACATAAGGCTGGACAAATAACAAACTTACAATTTTGTAATAGAAATTCGATAGAATTCAAATTCTGAATTTCAGAATAAACCTGGCATCCAGACTCATAAAATACCATTTGTTACATCCGAAAACACAAAATTTAGAAGTAATAAAATTAAAACAGAACTTATGACAAATAATTTATTTAGGCCACACACAATTTAACATTAAATACACACTACAGAGTATAAAAAGAAAATGTTTTACAATATAAACTAATTATAATATGAATTTATAACTTATGCTTAACTAGGAACTCTCTTATAAGTTTGTTGATTAATTCTGGTTCATGTTCCTGGAAGAAATGATAGCAGTCCTCAAGTAGTTTTGTTTCAATATACTTGTAATCCTCCTTCATACGATTCAATAAGTTTGGAAGTAATGATGAATCTTTTGCAGCATTAGCCACAAGCATTGGTACATTATTATCTATATTATTTCTTTTAGTTGTTAATGAGAAGACCGATCGGTAGTAGTTTATAGGTGGCGTGAAGGAACCTAAAATGATGATTACAATTAAAATAAAACAGAACAAAAACGTAAGCAGTTAGATATACATTTCTTTAGAAGTGCAATATGCAAATGAATTCGAACTTTTATAAAATAGATTTGTTCTCTTTCTCCACATACAATATTTCTCAGTTCCTTGTAATCTTTACATTTAAAATATTTGAAACTAACCTAATAGGTTAACTTTCAGTCATGGCAAATGCAAATAACGTTGTAGTGGAATCAAAATTATAGACAAATGGTATACTAACCAGGTTTACTGAAAGTGTATTTGTAGCAATTGATAGTATCTTCGTCAACATTTTTACCCTCCTGTTTGAATATCCACTCATAAACTTCTAAATTGCCCATCTCGAACCACCACTCAGGTAACTTAGGCACGAGGAAGAAGAAAGTGTACCTAAAATAATTAAATTAATTATCAAAAATATTAAATACCGAAGAACTAGTTCTATAGTAAAATACACGTTTAATATAATAGGAAAAACGCCGAAGCAATATTTGCTAAATAAATTGACAAGAGAACTATAATATATGCAACTTTATCTACAGTCATGCAAACCAAATTTTTATCAATAACATTAAAGTCAGTGAGAAACTCACGCTACAAACATCAAGTTACTTCTAATATTATTTTTATAAGACTACTTATAAACAATTTACTAATTTGTATTATAGAAGCACTAGCTTTCGCCCATAACTCAATCTGCGCGGAATCATCGATATCCGTTCTGGAAAGCAACAAACCCTGTTTGTTAACGAAAGTTTAGATGGATGGATGGATGTTTACCGTTCATATATCCTACTAAACTTTCACATTTATAATATTAGTAAGATTATAATATTACCATGCGCCAAAATGCTGTTTGCAATTATTCCAAATATCCCGTTGCCAGGATTCCTTACACATGCTCGCAAACATCACAAGACCTGAGACACATTCAGGATATGTGTCACGAAATCTGCTCGCCACTATGCCACCCCAGTCATGACTTACAATTATGCATTTGCTGCTACCTTAAAATAAACGGTTATTATTAAAAACAGTATGCCAGAACAAAATACAACAGTTGGCGTTATGATTAAGTACCTATTTAAAATTAGAACATTGTCGATAAAAAATGTGACCGTGATTATTAAATCACACTTACCTAAATTCCGTATAAAATCACGCACGTCTTCAACGAGTACGTCTAATTTGTATGATGATATTCCTTTTGGTTTATCTGAACCAGCATATCCACGCAAATTTATTGCCACTACCCTGTAACATATACATAGTTAGATAGATGCAAAAATGTGGCAAAAGTCTGGGGCTTCATCAGGTAATTTTGTTATGTTAGATATATATTATTTACAAAATCGACTGCGACTTACCGGTACTCTTTATTAAATTCAACAATTTGATGTCGCCAAGTATACCAAAACTCTGGGAATCCATGAATGAACAGCATTAACGGTTTAGATGGATCGCCGCTCTCTACATAATGCAATTTCACATTCTGAAACGAATAGATTAATGTTTAGTGATGAAATTACACGAAAAATATTGTTACTTTAGCTTATCGCATTCAATAAAAAACAAAAATAAGATAATCTATACTTCTGTATTATTATAATAAAGCGTAAACACACACTTCTTTGTTACCTAAGATGTCAGCAATTTCAGCATATTTTCCAATAACTCTTTTTTTAATAAAAAGCCCTACACTAACATCACGCTTTAGGCTATATATTTTCCCGCCGTCAAACTTAGAGGTAAATATTTTGGATAAAGACCCTAATGTGGGAAAGAGACCATAACTTGCTGCCAACATCAAGGAAGCAAGGTTGCTATAGTTTGATATCAAGTCATGACATTTTGACATTTGCTGTTGATAATTTGACAAATGTAAACTGTAATAGAATTTTTATAATTTCATGCGGAAGAGCCACACGGAAACAGCTAGTAATATAAGGCGGATGTTGTGGAATAAGTATTGTAACATTGATACTCACATTGGCCTTAATATATTTATGCTCGCCATATTTTGGATCCGTAAGACTGGCTGGTTTAACTATTTTAGGCTTTTGTCTACACAAATACTTAAGATGATACTTTAATGTACCGAATAAAACAACGAATAAAAATATGAAACTATAAATAAAAACTAAAAGAATCGTTGCAATAAAACGGAAAATAACTATGCAACTCATTTTAAAAATATGGTTTGTTTACATTAAAGTGGCGAAGAGACGTCCTATTTTAGCGGTGTCGATCGCACAATTAATAAATACCTCGTGTACCTCCTTATATTAATCAAGGTGTCCGGTACTGTTTGACTAAGTTCAAGGTCAGATAAAGGCGTTTATACACACTGTTATGACACGATCGAATAAAGGAACATTTGACGCATTGAACATTAAGAATACTAGCCTTGTTTGAAATGTCTGGCATTCTAAAAACTTTAAGCTGCAGTAAATATAAAGTTGTCTAACCTATGGTGGTAGATAATTTAGTCTTCAGGCATTATATTGTAATAATAGCTTTCGCCTCCGACTCCGTCCGCATGGTATTAAAAAAACAAAAGTGAAAAGAAAAGAAGGAAATTATAAAAAAAATCTTTAAAATGTATAACTGTTAGATACAAGCAAAATGTAATGTATGCTATGGAAGAACGGGACATTCTGTCACAAGTAAATAACTTACTTACAAGAATGTCCCAGCACCAGAAATCTACTTGTAAAATATGTATGATTTTAAGTAATAAATTGTTATTATTATTATTTAAAAAAAAAGTAGACATCTATACCTTTGATGGAGATCAATTCAGCAGTTTAGGCTTCAAAGTCTAACAAACATCCGTCTAAACTTTCGCATTTATGATATTAGCAAGATTGCATTCATTAAAAGTACAGTAAGAAAAGGTAAAAGTATGAAGGAGGCTTTATGTATTGATTGGCCTTTTATGAAATAACCATGTCATCATTACGTTTCAGTGAAGCTTGAAGAGTAAATGTGTTTTGTGGTAAAAAAAAAGCTTTATAAATATTAAAAAGATGTGTCAAATCTTCGTCATATTACGCAATAAGATTTTCAAAAATTGCTTTAATTTTAATTAAAAATATCGATGGATGTTTTTAATAAAATAAGTGTAAATACAAAGATTCAGTGTTTAATTTGTTTATACAAATATGTATCTTTTATAGGTGTGTGATTACAGTGTTACAAAGGTATAATTGTTTTCGTGTGTTTATTATCGTTTTTGGATATTACTTCCGACTTGTACAGCACATTTCTGAACTGTACCTAGGATACGTAATAATAAGTAGCCGGACGGATTATGTTCTCTGTAAGTGGCGTTGCCGCTTATTAATGTTTAGTTTACACTTGGCCAGTACAGTTGGACAGTAGCTCTCCACATTAGACAGAAATTCAACTGACATAATGTGAATACTGGCTGGAGCCAGTGACCTGCGATACTTTCTAACTGTACTGTGCTTATGTGACCCTGGTATAATGTAGCTAGCAGGCAGACACAATATCAATTGCTTGATTTTGTCCGCCAGCAAGCAAAACAAAGGTTGTAGTTCCATTTATCACCACATTACATATAACACGTTCAGATTGAAATAAGCTTATAAATAGTGTTTTATTTAAACGTGCAATCACGACGATACGATGTCATACAATTAGCATATTTGTAAGGTCTCGTTAAACTTTCCTTACATCGTTCTCATTTAACTATTATTTAGAAATGTAGTATATAGGTTTACTACATCATTTTAATTATGTACGAACTTCGCCCGCAAACTTCGTTAGCATAGAATAAAACTGTTTTAATAAACCTTGCGCCAGTGAGTCCATACAATCCAGGCCTGAGCTACTGTCTGATAACATTTCAAATGTGATCGATATTGTAGCCAGCTGAAAAAAACGTAATCTAACTATAATAATCCCGCGTACACCAAGACCCTTCCAGAAAAGTCTCAAACAGCCATTCCGGAGTTATCATACTAATATTTTAAATGCGAAAGTTTAGAAGGATGGATGTTTGTTAAAGTTTGTAGCTTAAAGGGCTGAACGGATATCGATGAAACTTGGCATAGATGTATTGGATAGTTTAGAAGAACACATAGACTACTTGCATCTGTTTTTTTTTTAATTCCATGCGGACGAAGTCGCGAGCGTAAGCTATTAATTTCATAATTTACTTCCACGATACATACGTACTTTGCCTTGCCAACTATCAAATATTACACCACATTTAAAAACCGGACGTTACCGCGCACTTTGTGTACAAAATACAAATTAATATCTGATATGGAGATAAAAGCTTGATAGCGAATACTTAATTCTTAAATATTCACTACTATTATTGTGAAATAATTATATCAGTTACGGATTTACGATAGCTTCCTATGTATAGCAATGTACATACCGTTTGATTACAAGATAAAATATCTCACTATAGGCAAATTAGTAGATGAACCTGAAACCGGAAATACACATGCCAGTAAAACGGTGTAGCAGCTGGCATGAGAGATACTGACACGCGCCAATAAAATATCAACGTATGATACAAGACGGGTACATGTCGACTTTCGCACGCCTCTTGTCCCCTTCGTAGGAAAATGTATTTCCGCATCCTTGCCGGTTTCATGACGATAGGTGTAGTCAAATCATTCTTTGCTTTAAGTTCTTAAAGCTTTTGGTTTGTGATACACTTTCTCGTTAGATAGTTAGCATTTATTTTATTTGCAAGCGATGGATGCGTCTTATACGTTACGTATAAACTAGAGATTTGAGAAGTTAGAATATATCATTATGTGAAATGGTATGTGTTGAGAACGTTGTGTATAATTATTTGCTGCTTTTGATATAATCATAATTAACGCCACCTGTTGGCAAATAGCCAAAAGCATGTGTCTTATTAATTTACTTCGAGCGCGATCTATTGATGAATAGTAAAAAGCATGTACATGACGACTAATTAAGTGTTTTGCCGATAGATGGCGACATTACAACGAGTCAATTATTTTGTTGATAGATGGCTCAAACTGATAAAGATTAACGTAGAAGATAATAAATCTGCGGTTCATTTTCACATTCTCATTGTCTTTAAAAATGGAATAATAAAACTAGTCAACAACTGATGTAATATGCTTTTTATTACAATGCAAAGGTATCTATAAAAATTTAGAACTAGATGTTCCCGTGCGGCTTCATCCGCATGAAATTATGAAAATTTTGTTTTATTGTTTACATTTGTCAAATTACCAATAGCAGATGTCAAACTGACATGACATGACAAACCTTGGCAATCTTGTTTCCTTGATGTTGGTAGCAACTTATGTTCTCTTTCCCACATTAGGGTTTTTATTCAAAATATGTACCCCATATGTTTAATGGCGAGAAAATTTATACACACAGGAGAATACTGTATAAATTAAAACCAGCAGAATTTGCAACGAATTATTTATTTGGAACACACGCTAATCAACATTTAATACAATGCACTGCAGAGTACAAAAAGAAAAAAGGTATACATTCTAATATCTCCATTACATTTGAGTACTATCTAAATCAGAATTTACAACTTATGCTTAGCAAGAAACTCTCTCATAATCTTGTTAACTCTTTCTGGTTCCTGTTCTTGTAAGAAATGATAGCTGCCCTTAACTAGCATTGTTTCAATGTATTTGTATTCCTCCTTTATACGGTCCAATAAAATTGGATCCAATGCCAAATCTTTCTCCGGGTTCGCCAAAAGCATTGGAACATTATCATCTTTATATTTTTCAGGACATGTCAATGAGAAGAGTGCCCGGTAATAGTTTACTGGTGCCGTGAAGGAACCTTAAATAAAAAGTATGTGATAGTAAAACATGATAAGAATGCATTAAATTTACATTTTCGACTTTAAAGGCGGTGAGTTACGGCAGAAAATTGACCAATACTGGTGGCAGAAATTACGATTATGTCTGAAGTTTTAACATTTTTATTTGAAGTAGATTCATATACTATGGACACGTTCTTTGCTCTGCTAAGCAAATTTTCCTTTGTTGTAATTTTAATATAAGTAAATGGAAGATTGGCTTGCAGCTTAATCAAGAGTGTGAACCAAACGTGAAAAATTGCTTAATCACAATGAAACTTCTAAAATTTATTATTCTATTGTAATATGTACTTACCTGGTTTACTGAAAGTATATTTGTAGCATGCAATAGTATTCGCATCGGCATTTTTATCACCGTATTGAAACATAGTATCAAACATTTGTAAGTTGCCCATTTCAAACGCCCACTCCGGTAGCTTTGGCATGAGGAAAAAGAAAGTATACCTAAAAGCATAACGTATCGCAATGTTTATTGAATGACAAAAAGTAAAAAATCCAACATAGTTTCATTAACAAATCGACTACATAATTATTAAGCGACAAAAAAGGTCTCGTAAAATTTCATTTTCTAAATTATAAACAAATATTCTTACCATGAACGTAAGTGCTGATTAAGGTTACTCCAAATCGCCTTATGCCACGTTTCCCTGGTTATACTTGCGAACATCATTATACCATCTACATAGTTAGGATGTGTGTCACGAAACTTGCTTGCAACTATGCCGCCCCAGTCATGGCTTACAAGAATGCATTTGTTTCGACCTTAAAATAAAATTTACGTACTTAATCGCCATTAGCCTAATGGTTTGAGGTACGGACTACCGACCTTGCGGTCAAGGGTTCGATTCCCGCCATACGACTATTGTCGTGAACCATATCCTAGCACAAGCCTACAGTTTAGTTGAAATGGTTAAAGGAAATATTAGTAAATTAACAAAAATCTACTAGTATTTAAAAAAAAATCACGCCATTGATAAAAAAGGCATTCCACAGGCTTTATAAACAAAAGGACATATGGAAAAATGACCAATTACAAATACACTCACCTAGTTTCCGTATAAAATCACGCACATCTTCAACAAGTATGTCTAGATTGTACGAAGATATTCCTTCTGGTTTCTCTGAATCTCCGTAGCCACGCATATCTACTGCCACACAACTGTAACATAGAAGGTAAGAAATAAATATGTAACAATAATGGTTTTAGATCTTTCTCAACTAAAGTCCATTTCTACAAGAGAAAATCCTTAAAATTAAAAACTCAACTAAGAAAACTGAAAGAGAGTCAAAGAAATAAAAATAGAATCGGACACAACAAAAACTTTGTTAAAACTTCATGTTTACAATGACAATAATTTCATGTGGGACTTACTAATAATCTTTTTTAAATTCAACAATTTGATGTCGCCAAGAATACCAAAACTCTGGGCATCCATGAATGAACAGCATTAGAGGTTTAGATGGATCACCATTCTCCACATAATGTAATTTCACATTCTGAAAAAAAAATACATTTTTGGTTTATTTTACGTTCGTTATTGTTTTAAATTACTTTTATGAAATTCTTCAAAAGCAACCATAATTTTAGTTCCCGTACAAATTACCGCCGCATTTCTTTGAAATCATGTTTTTTTTTTTCAGTTTCTTTGGAAGAAGTTTGTTATGCATTTTTAGAGAGCTAAGAAAACGGGCAGATTTTTAAAAAAAGTTCCATAGCATTTTTTAGTTTTTAAGGCATTTCAGTGGATGGGGTTTTCGAAAAATATTGCCGTACAATGGTTCCTTATCTCGCATTTTTGAATTTAGACAGATAACTGGTGTTTTTATAATATATTGTAAAATAATCAGTGTTTAATAGTTTTTACAAATCTGTAGAAAATATTAAGTTATCATTTATAGTTTTTTTAAATAAATAATAAAGAATCGAAAAATTAAGATTACTCAAAAATGGTTAACTTTTGTATAATGCACATAGGGGTCAACATTATGACAAATGAATCCGTCTATTACCTCCTAACGGGAATACATCAAATTACCAATAACCTTGTCTATATTATATAACATGGTGCTGAATATAGGAACATAAATATAGTATAAATATACTCACATTAGCCCTTATATATTTATGCACACCGTACCTTGGATCGGTCAGACTTGCGGGTGGATTTAATTTCGGCTTTTGTCTACCGAAACTTTTAAGTTTATATCTTAAAGAACGCAGTAAAATAACGATTGTAACTAAGCAGCAAAACGTTGAATAATAGTGAAATTCATGTTAAAAAACTATTATTTTGACTACGTAAGTGTGACAAAAGAGACGTCTGTTAATCTAAGGCGTCCTCCGTAAGATTGTTAAATGAAAATAAGTAGTTATAAGTATTTATAACATTTATCAAGGTGTTCCGTATAGATTGACAAGTTCGAGGTCAGATAATGCTGTAGGTATTACAAAGCATTAATACCACTTGAACACATAACTAATAGGAGTTTCAGAAGAAAAAAATTCGCTTGATTAAGTCGATTCTTATTTGCATTGGATGTAAAATCCATAAAATGTTAAACCGCAGTCAATAAAAATAGTTTGCAATAGAATATGGACAAGACGTAAAAAAACTAATGTTGACAGTTATCTTGTGTGTGATGGGTGAGTTATTACATGCAGGAAAGTTTAAGATTCAATTGAGAATGTGCAACTTTTTTAAAACTTTTCTTCTTGTTAGTTGTGAGATAACAACAAAGAAATAATTGATAAGGAAAAAATCAACCATTGAGCTAAAAAAAATATCAAATAAAATCACAATGATTTTCATGCAACTAAAACGCGGCCGGTGTGTACCAGAGTGTTGTGACGTCATCAAACAATAACAAAGCATTTGATTGGTTCTCAGAGTTATCAAAAATTAAAAAGTGATTACATCTACATATCACGTGCCTTTACCAATAGCGTTGAGTTTTAAAACTTTGCGAGAAGAGAATTTTTAAAAGAATCTTTTAAATATAATAATTTTTCGCTACTATATCATATTATGTAAAAAAAATATATAAGTAAGTTTTTACAGTAATAAAGTGTCAACAAAAACAAATCCAATTCGGCGTAATGTGCATGTTGTCTGTTATGTGACCATTTGCATCGAATATAAGAAAATGGTAGAGAAGCAGAAAATTGTAAGAAAAATGTCTACATGAAATTGTCTTCTAGTTAAAAGTTGTTATTGTTTTAAATTATAGAAATAACTACATTATCGATTTTCCTGATCATGTCATGTGTCATATTTGCATTTCATTCAATAATAATCTTTTTACAACTTGTCTTATCTATTAAGATGTACTCTATGTACTTTTATTACATTACACAACATTTTTGGTTAAAGGATGACATTTTTTTTATTGATAACTATTTTAATGATGATGAGAGATTTTCACTTTTCGATACGTTGTCATCATCATTGTCTATTCATGTCACTTATTACTAGCTTTCGCCCGCGACTCCGTCTGCGTGGAATTAAAAAAAACAACGTAGCCCAGGTAAACGAAGAGCCCATGCGTTTTTCCAGACTATCCTCTACGTCTACGCCAAATTATATCGAGATCTGTTAAGCGGTTTAGGCTACAAACCCTGACAAACATACATCCATCTAAACTTTCGCATTTATAATATTAGTATGATTACTTATCTATTCTCGTGACTTCGTCCGCGTAGTATAAAAAACATACAAAGTATATTAATCTTGCGCAATGTAATGTCAAATATTGGTGCCGCCAGCGTAAGGATACATTTGAGTTATAGCCGTATAAAAATTAGTTTCTCGGAGTGATGAGCGATGTGTAGAATTAATTCCGAAGGCAGAAATGTCGGAGATAATGTAATAACAATCGCGTAACGTTAGTAACATCATTCTTACTTGACCACCATCTTAAATGAAAACTGCACAACACAATCTAATCAAATGCAAACTCAGATTACAAACATTTACAGAGATTTACCAATCATACTATTCTATTCTATAATATTATAAATGTGAAAGATATATATAGATGGATGGATGAATGTTTGTTAGAGTTTGTACCCTTTTTTTATAACTTAAGGTGGCAAACGAGCAAGCGGCTACCTGAAATCGCCAAAGTGGCGAAGCGACCGCTGCCCATAGACCTCTGCAATTGCGGATGCGTTATAAAGCCTAAACAGCTGAACGGATTTCGATGAAATTTGGTATAGATGTAGAGGATAGTGTGGAACACATAGGCTACTCACTTTCGATTTTTACGATTCCACGCGGATGGAGTCGTGAGCGAAACCTAGTTGATTTTATTATAACATCATCATTCCACTATTCAATAACAAATGTGATCAGTAATTCCATTGTCGCCATTACATCTATCATGCCCGATGCACTTTCAGCCAGTATTCTTAATTGTTAATGGTCAGTAACTTTAATCGCTCAAAAAGTATTAATCATTTCGCCCCGTGAGTAGCTTATCTATTTTTCCAGACTATCCTCTACATCTATACCAAATTTCATTAAAATCCGTTAAGCCGTTTAGACTCCTAATTCTAATATCCATTCATCCATCCATCTAAACTTTGGCATTTATAATATTAGTATGAAGTATGATTACTAGTTGAAAGTAACTGTAAAAAAAAAAGTTGTTTTCTTACTTTAGTAAACGAGAGTGGTGAATTATTAAAAAAAGTAATAGTAATAAGTCTCAATGTTTTATTCACATTTAAAAAATCACGTGGTAATTATTGATGATTTTCAAAAAATCATAATGACCGTGACATATAACCTACTCGTATAAACCAATAATGCGTATTGAAATACATATAAAACAAACATAAAAAAAACTAAACCGAAAATTGTAACTCATTTATTTGAAAACAACCTAACGATGGAGAAATCTAGACAACACATTGTTTGTTTAAAAATATAGACGGTTATACACATTTACATTTCAATTACAATTATTTAAGTTAATCCTATTTATAACTTATTCTTTGCTAGAAAATCTCTTATAATCTTATTGGCTTTTTCTGGTTCTTCTTCTTGGTAAAAATGGTGACTGTTTTTCACCAATATTGTTTCAATATATTTGTATTCTTCCTTCATCCGGTCCAATAATGTTGGAGCTAAAGCCACATCGAGTTCAGCGTTGGCTACAAGCATCGGGACGTTATTATCTATATACTTATCTGGGAATGTCAATTGGAAGTTAGCTCGGTAGTAACTTATCGGTGGTGTCAACGACGCTGAAAGCAGAACACCAAGTTGCATAAAGTTAAGTATTTGAATTTGGTATAGATGCAGAGGATATTCTGGAAGAACACATAAGCTAGTCACTTTTGTTTTTATTTAATTCCACGCGAACGGAGTCGCGGGCGCAAGCTAGTATTATAATAGAAGATATTTTTATGACACTCACCTGGTGTCGGATATATGTATTTGTAGCATTTCAGCGTATTCTCGTCAAGTTTTTTATCACCATTATTGAAGACTACTTTAAAGATTCTCATGTTTGTTAATTTCTCCGTTAGCTCTGCTAACTTTGGCATACGATAAAAGAATATGTACCTGGAAACATATTTATTAATTACTTCATACCATAATCTTATTTATTCTCTTGGACTATATTTCCTATAATAATGGAAGTCAAAATATGTTAATTCTCTTACTCGGCATTAGGCTACCTTCGCTTCAATTTTAATCTAATTATAACGTCAGTACAGGAAATGCATGCAAGGAAATGTTAACGTGCAATTTAAGTGTGCAAAAGTTTATTTCATACCATGATTTCTTATTCTGAGTAAGATTACCCCAAATCTCTCGGCTCCACGCTTCTCTGGAGATACTGGCAAGCAGTATCAATGCGTCTAATGCCTCTGGGTGTGTATCACGAAACTTGGTAGCCACTATGCCACCCCAGTCGTGACCCACCAGTATGCACTTATTGCGACCTACAAAATTATATACTCTTATAGAATAATCTATATTCCTAATTTCATCTAGATTCTTTCAGGCGTTTTTTTGGAGTTAGTACAATAATCCATACATTCATTCTTTTTAAAATGTTTGCAAAAAGACCTACAATATCTAATACTTTACCCAATTTTCGCATAAAATCACGCACATCTTCTACTAATACATCTATTTTATATGCGGACAGGCCCTCTGGTTTCTCAGAATCTCCGTAACCTCGCATATCGACCGCAACACACCTGAAAACATACTTATAGTTAGTTAGCTTTCGTCCTCCAAATAACTCATCATCCGTTAACTCAGTTACCACCCCATCCTTGGTCATATCACCTTTCCATCTCTTTCTAGGTTCACCTCTACTGATGTAGCGGCTGTTAATTTATTGTGTCTTATAAAAAGGTGCTAAAAGTAACACTTGGCACATATTTTGAAAACATCCCAATTTATCCTCACCCCGTACCGTTTATTATTAATTTACTTACCAATATTTTTTATTGAATTCAACAATTTGATGTCGCCAGCAATACCAAAACTCCGGGAATCCGTGCAGGAATAACATGAGCGGTTTGGAAGGATCACCACTTTCAACATAATGTAATTTTACATTCTAAAATAAAATAAAATATAAATTTGGCTTTCATAAATTAGGTTGCTAGAAATAATTTTTAATCTCATTATTTAATTTAATTACTATAATAACTACATAGAATTAATGTAATCTTAAATCATATATCTGAAGTAGACAAATGACTCGCGAGATCGGTTATTATCATTTATGAGCCTACGAGTAACGACAAGGAATTTTACAGTTGCCAGTCATTATTACATGCAATTTTCTATAGCCAATAACTATTTTCTGCTATTGTGGGGACCATTTATTTCTTATAAAAGTACCCATCAAAACGGTGGCATTTTCAAAAGTTGCAATTGTTAATCATTTTCATATAAAAAGTTCTTTGCGCAAAGTTTTACGATTTTTTTTTGTTAAATTGCAGACAGTTAATATGGAGGAGAAGCATAAAGCCATGATTAAAAAAAAAACCTTTTGGCAATTAACTTTTGTCCAATTTTGACCACAATAGGACTGTGAATATTAAAACCCAATATTATATCTTCAAGATGTGTATCCCTATATAAGTTCTAAAAAACGTAGTCATGCACATACAGAGAATTAAAAAAAAACATACAAAAGTGTATACTAAAATAAAAAAATACTCACGTTAGCCTTTAGATATTTATGCACACCGTACTTTGGATCAGAAAGACTTGCCGGAGGCGACAACACCGACTGATTACCAGAATATATAAAAAGATTCTTTAAGTAAATTGATAAAGAAACGATTGTAATTATTATAGAATAAAAGATAGTTAAAATATTAGCAATTATAAAACGTTGAATAAGGTTAGAAACCATTTTTAGAAATAATCTGTCGCGTTCATTAGTAAAGAAACAAAGACGTCTGCGTTTTTTGGTGGTGGCTAACTGAATTGATAACACATTGTGTAATAGCTATATTTATAACAGTTACGACTATTACTACTTAAGAGTGTTGTAAAGAATGATAAGTCGCTTTTTGGACTGGCGTGGAGTTACGTAATGGGGCTAGGAAACATGTAACACTCATTTACAAAACTTCCTAGTACTTGGATTAAAAGAAGGCACTGCCTCTTGTAACACAGGTCTCCCTACCACAAAAGCAGAGTCCCAAAAAATGTCAAGTTTTGTAAAAAATAGGCTTTTTTATTTTACATTGATTTTTTTTTTATTTTTTATTTGAAATATTAAAGCGTAACATGCGAATACAAACATCAATATTGATAAGCCAATCTACTTTTTAAATTCGTCAATGACTAAAATCCATTAAGGATTGTGATCTATGATTTCGGACATGAAGCTCAAGGCTGAAGAACTATAATACGGCTGAGTCATTCTAATCGTTATGTTCACCAGGCCAAAGTATAATACAAATGTAATCATACTAGTCATACTAATATTATAAATGCGAACGTTTAGATAGATGGATGTATGTTTGTTAGAGTTTGTAGCCTAAACGGTTGAACGGATTTCAATTAAATTTGGCATAGATATAGAGGATAATCTGGAACAAGGCATATGCTACTCACTTTAGTTTTTTTTATATCACGCGGAAGGAGTCGCGGGCGAAAGCTAGTCTAATATAAAACGTTGATATAACATGCGTAATGTTTGTAAAATCTCTTATATTATTTTGAACCATAAACTGATTTTCTTAATCCGTAACGCTGTTAAAACTAACAGTAAACCCTCGGTTGCCTGATAGGAGTACAATACCGAATTTTTGAATAAACTCAGAACCGTAAAATACCATCTGGGATGTTCGCAAATACTGAAAAGGTTGACGATTTGCCTAAATAAACAACATTAATAACAAATAATTTATTTGGACTGCAGCCAAATCGATATTTAATACAATACACTGCAGTGTAAAAAAAATGTAAATATATTATCATTACATATTTGTTTATTATCTGAACCTATAACTTATGTTTAGCAAGGAATTCTCTGATAATCTTGTTGACTTTTTGTGGTTCCTGTTCTTGTAGGAAATGATGGCTGTCCTTAACTAGCATTGTTTCTATGTACTTGTATTCCTCCTTCATACGATTCAATAAATTTGGAACTAACGCTGTGTCTTTCTCCGCGTTAGCCACAAGCATTGGGACGTTATTATCTATATATTTTTCAGGGCATGTCAATGAGAAGATTGCTCGATAGTAATTTACTGGTGGCGAGAAGGAACCTGAAATAATGAAGGCCCAATTAAAGTCCATTTCCCTATTCTTATCCACCCCTTTCTTAAAAGGAAATGCTAAGGTAAAGTGGACGTGACGGCGGAGGAGACGCATCGCTTCGATGTTTTGGCGGAATTACTCGCTTGGTCATTTGCCACTTTATGTTACAAAAAAAGCTTAAAGGTTAACTTTGAGTCATGTTATAAATTACGACACAAAAACACATAACGTTGTGCAACACTAACATTGTAACAAAATTATACTGACCAGGTTTACTGAATGTGTATTTGTAGCAATTGATAGTATCCTTATCAACGTTTTTATCATCATGTTTGAACAAAGTCTCAAACATTTCCAAATCGCCATTCTCCATCGACCACTCGGGTATCTTCGGCATGCGGAAAAAGAAAGTATACCTAAAAGTACAAACTATTGCAATAATAATTGACAAAAAGTAACAAATAAGTAATTTAAATAGATAAATTAAGTAATAAGTACAGATAATTAAGTAATAGAGTATTATATGCAATCATAGTCATGCAAATCAACCTTTCGCCACATATAATTAAATTTCAGCGACAAACCATGCTACAAACATAAAGTAACTTCCAATACTGTTTTTATTACCACAGACAAATAATTGACTACATTATTAAATTATAAAATACTAGCTTTCGTCCAGGACACCGTTGGCGTGGCATAAAAAACATGAGTGAGTAGCCTATGTGTTCTTCCAGACTATCCTCTACATCTGTACCAAATTTGATCGTAATCGGTTTAGCAGAATAGGCTACAAACTCTAACAAACATCCAACCATCTAAACTTTCCCATTTATAATATTAGCATGATTCATACCATGATTTAAAATGCTGTTCCAGGTTGCTCCAAATCTCACGATGCCAAGATTCTCTAGTTATACTTGCGAACATCATTATACCATCTACATGGTCAGGATGTGTATCACGAAACTTGCTGGCCACTATACCACCCCAATCATGGCTTACCAGTATGCACTTGTTCCGACCTTAAAATGAGTTATTATAAATAAACCTTCAAAGTCAAAACAACTAGAACCAGAAAATTAGTCATGTTCTCCAAAAAAAAAGGGTGTCAAATTATAACCACACTTACCCAATTTCCGTACGAAATCACGCACATCTTCAACGAGTACGTCTAATTTATAGGAAGATATTCCTTCTGGTTTTTCTGAATCTCCGTAGCCACGCATATCTAATGCCACACAACTGTAACAGACATCGAAAAAAAATATACTTGATGTATTTATCAAAAGAAGTAGATAAAATCTTTAATGTTCGTAACTGCGAAAATAATCATTTAACACCATAATGTCATCCCTATTTGTTACAGTAAAAAGAACATATTCAGCAACTGAATACCACGAGACATAGGAGTGGAAAACACAGGCAATGGAAAATCAAATATTACAATATTTATTTTGGTGTGTACTTCATATATGCGACTTACCAGTAATCTTTATTAAATTCAACAATTTGATGCCTCCAGGTGTACCAGAACTCAGGAAATCCATGAAGGAACAACATCAGTGGTTTAGATGGATCACCACTCTCTACGTAATGTAATTTCACATTCTGAAAAGGATATGTAGATACTTAATAAAATATCGCAGTATGATTGTTACAATTAGATTAGGCCCTCCGAGACTATAGACTTTATCGGCCGATAGTTTCGAGTCGGGCTATCCAATTAAAATAATATAAAAAAAAATCGGTATTAGGCATGCGCCTCATATATGATCATATAGATTAAAGGCATGACTAAATTATAGGCCGATTAAAAGGCTGTAGTCTGAAGTGCCCTTATCGTTACCTTCAATAAAAAACAAAAATAAGATGCTCAGACAAAGCTGATGTAAGAATATAAGAAAATAAATAATGTGCAAATGATACTTACATTAGCTTTAATGTATTTATGTACACCGTACTTTGGATCGGTGAGACTAGCTGGAGGAATAAATTTCGGCTTTTGTTTACCAAAATTCCTAAGTTTATATGTTAAGGAACTTAGCAAAGTACTGGTTGCAATTAAGCTGCTATAAATAACAGTCAAAATATTCGCCACAATAAAACGTTGAATAACAGTTAAATTCATTTTAAAATAATAACCTGACTAACAGAATACACGTCCTCGTTTGTCGGTGTCGCGTGAAGTATTGATAAATTGTAGCTCGTACTATTTATCAAGGTGTTGTAGTTGGGAAGTTCAAGATCAGATAAAGGTGTGTATGTACGTAGCGATAATAAGACACATACGCATTAAAAAGCTAGAAAGCATTTCCTAAAAATCTTATTGTCAATTGTCAATTGTCAATTAATAAGCATAAATTATAAGTATTAATGGTCATGTAACATTGGTATTTTAGCAGTGTATGTATTATAGCAGTGGTAGAGCCCGCTTAATATCCTCGCACGAATGGCCGGCTCGCCCGGTGCAATGCCACGAGCACACAGAAGACAGGCGTGAAGTGGAAGCAATTCCGCGTTTCGTCTGATGAGTGTGGTGCCGGAGGCCTAATTTTAGTGTTTCCCTTTCTACCCTTTTCTTAGAGGAAAAGATGGGAAGAAAAAGTGGACTTGACAGTAGAGGAAATGCATAGGAAGGGGAAATGTTCTCTTTATGTTCGTATCCTCCTCCGTCAATTAAGGGTAAGCAACGCATCAGCAATTGCGGATGTTTATGGGTCGCGGTCGCTTTCCATATCGGTGGATTCAGGTGACCGCTTGCTCGTTTGCCACCTTATATTATAAAAAAAGTATACTTTGCCTATCTTTACACCGCATTTAAACCGGATGTTAACATGTCTAAAATACAAACGGTTATCTAAAATACAGATAAAAATGTGATAGCGAAGTAATTGTTGAAAATTCACATTAATTGTGATTAAATAACTAAATCGTTAGACTCGAATCGTAATTTTGTGAATAGACCGTCGGATTACGTGACAACAAAGTACACCATGTTTAAAGTACAAAGGTCGACCTTATAATACTCATACAGTTACTTGTAAAAAGTTGAAGGGTCTAAACGTCTGTTTTTTTTAGATACGCTATTTTTATAGTATAGTTGACAAACGAGCAGCGAATATTAATTGATCCGATGCTCATGAACATGCGCAACGTAAGGTTTTTCCTTTATTTTTATCATTCTATTTTTTCTATATCTTCGAAATTAAGCAGTAATAGCCCATAATAGCCCATACCATGCCCATATCATGGGCATGGTATGGGCTAACCTTTTACTGAATAACTTTTATGAGGAGGAATTACTGGTATGAGGAGGTATGGAAAAGCATGTAACAAGAAGGACGTTAGTTATGAGTGTGGAAGGGTACTACGGTAGAGACAGATAGATTGATTGCGTGAAAGGTGACATGATCAAGATGACTGAGATGTCGAATGAGAGAGTTACCTGAGGACAAAAACCCGGTGCGACGACCCTACAGGAGTAGGATACGGTAAAGAGATGATGACTTTCGAAAATACATTTAGGGGCAATGGGTCCCTCGCTTATAGGTATCTCTATTTATATTATGTTTCATCTGATGAAAGAAATGTGCTAATTAATTGATTCTGTCTCCGTTATCCATTTCCATACTACTTATTTACTCTTTTTTTAGAAAAGGTTTTTTTAATTGTCCCGGAAAAAGCTTTGTCATTCGTGTTATGGTATAATAATAAAACATGTAAATCAGTGAAACAAAGAAATATAATAAATCAAAATATTTACTAACATAAAACATTAATATCTATGCATTTATCGCAAAACTAACTTTGGCAAAAAAAACACAAATTTTCAATAACTCAACAATTTTTTGTTGATTTCACAGTTTATTTTTAACAAGGAAATCTCTTATTATTTTGTTGACTTTCTCCGGCGATTCTTGTTGTAAGAAATGGTAGGCGTCTTCTACAAGCACTGTTTCAATGTTCTTATATTCGGTTTTTATACGTTCCAACATACTCGAGACTATGTACGGGTCCTTTTCACCGTTGGCCACAATCATAGGAACATTTTCGTCCTTATATTTATCCGAAAAAGTCAATTGGAAATTTGCTCGGTAGTAGTTTATAGGCGGCGTTAGAGCAACTGAAAAAGATAATGGATATAATAAAAAAGACGTTCAACATAAATAGAGACAATTAGTTAAAAAAATAACAAATCTAATCCGATTTGATTATTGCAATTAATTTTCCATGCGCGAAATTACATTACTAAAATATTTCTAAAGTCCGCTCTATAACTATTTTATTTTTAACTCTACACTTGCATTACTCCTAATGTATAAACTATTACAATTCCCACCTTGTTTTCTAAACCAGTATTTATAACATTCGATGTCATTATCATCAACACAATTTTCCTGTCGTCTCATCACAGTATCGAAAATCTGAAGATCGTTCATTTGCAGCATCAGCTCAGGTAGTTTTGGCATGCGGTAGAAGAACGTATACCTGAAAAGTTCAATCTTAGATTACAATACAGTACCTAATCTATTAGATACATGTAAAAAAAACTTTATTAACTAATTGAAAATTTTTCATAGCAACAGCTACCGACGTCAGTGTTATGCATATAGCACTTCATAGCATATAGCATTCTTTAGCACGCTTGCTCACTTGTCTATACAAATTTAATATTAATTTTCGTATATTCCCCTAGCAGTAGCGTATTTAAACATAAACTGGAATGCAATATAGTATTGTAACCTATAAAAATGGCGTTGATGCAGTTAAAAAACCTTGGTCCACTATAATGTAAGGACTAGCAGTCAATCTATAGTTGGAATTGATATGACTGCGTGCTGATTAGTGTCAATTGTTTCGATTGATACACTTTATTCTATCATAGTTGCTTATTTTACCGATGGTAGCTTATTACTACTATTGATTAACGACATACTACTTATATTATTTTACAAATTATTAGGTACAAAATTCGTACCATGACTTCTTCTTCTGTTGAGGATTATTCCATATTTCTTTGCTCCAAGCTTCTCTAGTCGTACTCCCCAGTACAATAACAGCGTCCAGCGCGTCCGGATATGTGTCACGGAACTTGGTCGCTATCAGACCGCCCCAGTCGTGAGATACCAGGATACATTTACTGCGACCTTTAAATAAAGGTAACTGTTAATGAACTTTCTAGAATGTATTCCATGTAGTTGTAGAACGATTCTAGACTAAACATACAGCGGATTAAGCTTATCTGTTTTGTGGAACTAATTATCTTTCATAATATACGTATGTACCACTTTTACAATTTGTCAAATTCAAATGATGACGATGGGAAATTGTTTAATCAGAAAACAATAAGCTTTCACATTCAACGCCATCTATCCACATAAAAGATCACACCCGTTATCCAACTTTCAAAAACTACATTCCAACCATGACGGTAGCTAAGCCTTAAGTTCTAAGAGGCTGACAAAAAAGTAAAGAAACTAATTCTAAATTGAAGGTCCCACTTAGTCTTTTAAAACCGAACTCACATAAAATAGCATTACAGTAATAGTGTAATTATAACTAAAATTTTCATTGTTTCTAACGTTCGAACGTTAAAATAAAAAAATATTTTAGGCAATCTGTCAATATGTTCTCTTTCAACAAGGTTAAACCATTTGTTTAACAACCGTCCAAGTGTAAGCTTGTTGCTAACCAGTAACTTTCTAAAACTGTACAAACAGAACGTTTGTATTTACCGCTTACCCAATTTCCGCATGAGATCGCGCACGTCTTCCACTAAAAGGTCTATTTTATATGCGGCCACTTCCTCTGGTCTCTCGGAGTCTCCGTATCCACGCAGGTCGAGAGCAATACACCTGAAACAGTTATACAAACCATGACAACTTTGCTGTTTTCATTGTAGAAACATATAAAGACATCCATCTCGTTGTATAAAAAACTGCAATAAAAAAATAAACTGCAACGTTTAATATCTAACTTACCAGTAATCTTTATTAAATTCCACAATCTGATGGCGCCAGGAATACCAAAACTCGGGGAATCCGTGCAGAAACAGCATAAGCGACTTGTTAGGATCCCCGCTCTCAACATAGTGTAGTTTTATATTCTGCAATGAAATACATTTTGTTATATTATCACTTCATATTCACAAGTGCATCTATAAAACTACTATGAACAATTGTACGCGAGACTAACGATTGAATAATGAATTTAAAAAAGATCTACAGGACCGGTGGAAAGAGGAAGAACATAAAATCGCTTTCGTCATCATTATTATAGTCTATTATACTCTACTCGGTTACATGCAAACCTAGTGATAGCACCAATTAGTTTGTTGTTAATTATTTCTGGTCTGTTCGATTATTTTAGAGATACTTGCGTCATATAGATTAACAGTCTATAATTTAATGATTAATGTAATGATAAAACGAAGTAATAATTTACAGTTTTTAGCTGTTATTATTGTTTTTGTTGTATTATTATTAATATTATCTGAATATTGCTTAACCAAAAAAATCATTTGATTTCGCGGATACTCATTGAATCGATAACCGCTAACTTTGCCGACAATAATGGAAACTGGACGTTCATGGTTATGATTAATGGAAAGTGAAATAAGTAGAATAACGGGTTATACGCGCTCTGTTGCTAGGAGAGAGTAACAAAAACTCTAGCTATCAATTCTGTTGGTTAAAATTTGTAAGCATCACGATTAAACGGTTCAAATTCAACTTTCTTTCCAATACATGCCTCAGATATAATTTTATATCCTATTAATATTCAGATTTCATTTTATTTCAGCAATATCGTAATTCTTTAGCTTTAATCATTAAGTTACTTAGCTATATTTTACATCGCGTCGATTCGTCGTTTAAAGGATTTTAATTAATTAATTGCAATTCAGTTGTAATTTATCGGAAGTATGTATTACGCAGAAAGCGGAACGGTTTACGTGTCCGCAACATAAGACACACTAAACGTACTTGTCATGTGCTAAACCGTTAAACAATTAGTTTCGCTTTGCATACTGGTCGTATGCTATTATGTCCCCATCGAGGGAAGTTACCTACCGAAGTTACGGTGATTAAGCAGTCAACCATGCTGCCACAATGAGGAACTCCTTTTCTTTTTTAGCATTTCGCAGACTGAGTTCCTTAGGTATTCGGATATTACGGATTTTCTTTAGCTACGGTATTCGGATACATCTCTCACTTATTTTTACTTCATATTTTATTTATCAGCATCATCCTCGTTAGCCTCAGCCTACTACTGGAGATAGACTTTCCTCAATGGCTTCCAATATACGATCATCTACTTTACTATATGATATTACTAGCTTTTGCTCGCGAATCCATCGGCGTGGAATTTAAAATAATAGTAAGTAGCCTGTGTTCTACCAGACTATCCCTATATCTATGCTAAATCTCATCGAGATCCGTTCAGCCGTTTAGTCTACAAACTATAACAAACATCCAAGTATGATATTGTGATGTAAAATGTAAAGTAATTAATTAACATGCAACTTAAAAACCTTGTCCTTTATTGAAGTCGTTTAATATTAAATTGGACGCTTGCTTTGTCACCTTATCATATAAAAACATAACGTGCGTTCAGAGACGTAATTCTGATTCTTCATATGGAACCGTACCAATAGGCGGTGCTATTGGGTATGTATGGAATACGTCATCATTTGTAACTTAAAGGACAGAATCAAGGTTAATAATGCTCGTTCGTGCGGAGTACATTTTCATAGCAGTAGCCTTGTGTTTGCTAATAAGTATTCCTAGGAAATTAACATTACATCACTATATAAAAAATCTTAATATTCTCGTGTTCTGTAGATATTAACAGTTTACTATGATGCTTCATTTATGCTTAAAGAAACCAAATTAAAACTATAATTATTATTTTATTAAAGTTACACTCATATATCCAATTCTAGTTATTTAAACTTTCACAATATTAATTTTAGTAGGCCTAATTTATATTAAAATGTTCTGATATTAAATTAGAGAAAGGCACATATGATCGTTGATGTTACAAAGCGTGGGTCAATGGCCATTTTACTTAAAATGCCTGTGTTACCTACTTATCAATGTATATTATATTATTCAACCTAATAGAAACAAGGTGATCACGAACACATTTAGATTGAACGAATAAGGTTTGTAAAAGAAAAACCTACTTGTGGAAAAGAAAACTATAAATACGACTGAAAACCGGTTTCGTAAAGCACGTGAGAAGACATCATTAGTATTATTGTGATGTATTCATGTTCATTGTTAATTATTTTACGTTTTTATTGTTGAAATAACCTACTTCATAAAATTTAAAAAAAAAATCAAGAGAATCTGGTAAAAACACAACATAGTTCTTCTTTCTTCTCCTAATTTATCTGATTAAATTTACTTACAATTTTTTATATTACATTAAACAAAATATACTCACATTTGCCTTCACATATTTATGTACACCATACTTTGGGTCAGAAAGTCTTGCTGGAGGTACTAATACTAATTTTTGTTCCCAAGGATTTTTAAATGGATTCTTCAAAAAAGTTAATAAAAAACTAAATAAAACCAGTGCACTATAATACACGGTTAAAATGTTTGATACAACGTAACGTTGAATAGTAGTAAAAGTCATTTTAAAGAAATGTTTTTTCACTACATACGAGTAACAAAACAATCGTTCGCGCGCGTTCGAGTCGCGCGAATACTGAAAAATGCCTTTTGCCCCTCCAAGCTTTTAAATGGTAAACGTAATGATTAACTTTGATCTTTGAACCAACTGTCTTATCAAGTAAGGGTATTCACACACTAAATACAATTTTCATAACCAGTAGGTTAAAAATATGACAGTACCTACTTAGTCGAATCTAAATAAATAAAAATTAATGTTCATTTTATCCTGGGTACGAATCGAATGCGAGAACAGATAAGACTGAAAGTCATAATTTAATTTAACATGGATAATAAAGTTATTAAAAAAATGTTTTAACTACCTACCAATTATTCCCGAGTTTTCACCAATGGACGACTTCCATTAGTAGATAGATAATTAAACGACTCCGTATCTTTTTTAGCAAATTATTTAATAAAAATAATATCTGATATGACTAAGCATGGCAAAAAGCAACATCATGTCATATCATTTCAACTGTCAAATTCACCAGTTCTATAAATACAGACGTACGTTAAAACCTACAAAAAAGTTGACAAGATACTTTCTAAGAACTCAAAAAAATCTAACATTAATCTGATACAAAGTTTATTAACCTTTCAGGAAAGAAACAAGCACCGTAATTATGTGTGCTACTTACAACATTTTTTAACTTACACGTAAGGCGTTTATTTCGTAAAATAAAAATTATCTGATATATGCACGTGAGAAACACAAGTTAACGGTTCAAAGGGGAGTAAAAATTTAAGCCCAAAAATATTTAACGACTGCACAATTTAAACTGACTGAACCTAATCTTTACTAGAATATGCACGGTTTTATTAAAAAGTGATTTCTGCACGAAGAAATAAAATAGCATAAAAATGATAACATATATTAAATAGATAAACCACAGATCTGTATAAAACAATTAATTTTTTTTTACATTAACATTCCGTAATATTGAAACATTTGCATAAAATTTGATTAAATAAATTAAATCAAATTAAAAACTACTTAAACAGAAATTATAAGCAAACACAACTGCTTTCTACGTCTTATCTCGATCGAAGTATAAGTTTTTTCACTCAATAATTCAATGAAAATCAAATACACTCATAGTTTCCGAAACAGTTTCTGTGATCTCAGACATCTTTTAAGTTATCCAAAAAACATAATTATCATAACACACTAAAACCAAACAAAAAGTCGAATAACGTTAAACAATAATGGCACCAATAATTAGACATACAGAAGCCCTAGCAAATCATAATAATTAAGAAATAATAATTTATTATTATTAATAAGTTTTTAATATCAATCGAAAGGATTGACGCCATTGTCACTAAATACGGACTCAACATCGCTGTGAATGTTTGAATTCGATGACAATTGCTCACTTTCCCTCCAGTAATGTGCACTGCTTATTGACATTTTGAATGCATTTGACATCCAAGGATCAGTATTTTTAGCAGCTTCCTTCAAGCGCTCAGAGGTCTCCCTCTCGATGCGCTCCAAGCGATCCAAAGCCTTTGACGGATCCATACTTTGAGGTCGCTCATTAAAATTTATATCGATTTCAATTCTGTGAAAATATCACCGATTTCTTTTAACTATATACTTTCTTATTTTATATCGCTTACATGTATTCAAGAGTCAAGTTATAAGGCTTTCATGTATTAGTTTTAATTACTTCAACAATTTGTACTTTTAACATCACTTTAATTTCACTTACACAAGTTAAATAGTAAAATACATATTTTTAGCTAAAACATTAAAAATATCTGTATTTCTTACTGTTAATTAACATACAAAAAAATACACTTTACTTAAGCTACTTTTACAAAAAGTTTTTACATTACTTAACATTATTTCTAAAAACTATTCAATTATATAATCAAACATTTGTACGACTGCAATTCTATCGACATTTAACACAATAGTATTACATATTTTAACTCATTATAATACATCTGTAGTATTGTAAAGGTTACATGCAAACTTTCTATTCAAACAACGGAGAGACATCAGTCCTACCCGGTCTCTGCTGTAAACTTGAGCCAAGCTTCTTGATTGGGCGCGCGCGGTATCTCCGCGGCAACAAAACGACATGCCTCTGACATTGTACGTTCAACAGTGTCTATTTGTTTTTCTGTAATTGAACCTGTAATTTCTTTTTAAATAAACTCTACTTGCCTATGGCTGCCAGTAAACTACCGCAAAAGCGGAACGAAAACGAACCAAAATTTTATATTATTTTATATTATTCTCAATTGCAAATGTCAAAATTACTGTTACCATAATAACCTTGCTTCCTTAATGTTGGCATCTTGTAGTTTATGGTCCCTTTCCCACATTATTTGTTTTTTCCAATTTATTTAACCCCTAAGTTTAATAGCGTGAAAATATATAGCCTAAAGCGTGTTGTAAGTGTAGGGCTTTTTATTAAAGAAAGATTTTTTCTAAATATGCTGTGATTGCTGACATCCTACGCCACGAAGTAGTGCGTGTTTACGTTTTATTATATTAGTATAGAAGTATAGATACGAGTAATTATGAATTTATTAACTCCAATGATTATTTGCCAGACTCTGTGTTCACAGCATGAACCAATTTATTAATTTTAATTTTTGGCATAGGAATTCGAATCCAATACCAAAAATTCGGAAGCCTACATCAAAATTCCATAACATTGTCATTTAACGTGGACATGTGAAAAACTCTACGTTGTGTTTCGCGTTTATATGCAAAAAAAATGTTACATTATCATGTAATAGGTACATCATTCAATCGCGGTATCATGATCGTGAATATTTGAAACGAAATGTAATGAAACTAAAAAACACAAAATCATCTATGCCTATGCCGCACGTGTAAAGACAGCAAGAACCTGTACTATTACTAGGAGAAACAGAGAAAACATGAGGAAAGAAAATCAAACCTCTTATAGACCGATGTATCGAATAATTAACACTCACAAAATTCTATACAAATTACCTACGGAACCGGTCTTTTAATAAGTTCATTTTTACATTTATTAGTTTAGATACGATAACTAAAGTTATATATTTACCTGATTCCTGTTGCGTGGAATGTGCCGGTCTGCGCAACGCATGCGCCAAGTTACCACAAACAGCGCCTTTCGAAGTCAACTTACTACCGCTGCTTCGCCATTCGGCATCTAATAATAATAATCCTATTATACTGATAAAACCAAGCTATTTTACTGCTTAACATAATTAGATTTCGTTCACATTCGTAATTTAAATAGGTGTTTTAAATTTATATAAAAAGGAAAAAATAGTATTTTTGTTATTTGAATCTTTCTGATATTACAAAAGCGAAAATTTAAACGGATGGATGAATGTTTTAAGAGTTGGTAGCCTAAACTGCAGAACGGATTTCAATGAAATTTTGTGTAGATGTAGATAGATAGTAGTCTGGAAGAACATATAGGCACTTTGTATTTTTTTTAATTCCACGCGGACATATCTTTTCATTATTAAAAAGATACGTTAACAATGAACAACAATTTTTTTTTATTTGACGCGGGGGAAGTCACGAGCGACAGCCAGTAAGTTAATATTGTCATCATCCATAGTGTCCACCCCATACCCATTAACGTGTTCATGATCTGCAGGCGCGTGGGCGCGTCGATGGCGGGGCGGGGCAGCGCGGTGTGCGGCCGCCGCGCCAGCGCCACGCGCGCCCCCCGACACCCGCCGTTCTCTGTGGTCGCTGGACGTCGCCTTTGTACCACTGGTCGTTGAACCTCCGTCAAACATTTCGACACACATTCTTCTTGCGATTTCTTGAAAAATCAAGCAAAACCTAAGTTACCTCAAATATTTTTAGGTAGAGCCCGCTTTAACATCTTCACACTGTAGAGTCGGCTCGCCCCCAGAAATACCACGACCATACAAAAGATAGGCGGTAAATGGGAGAAATTCCTCGTGCCGTGAAGAGTGTGGAGCCAGAGGCACAATTTTAGTCACTTTTCCTTCCCACCCTTTTTCTTATAAGAAAAGGATAGGAAGGGAACAGGGACTTGACGGTGACGGTGACGCATAGGAAGGGGAAACATCCTCTTAATGTGCGTCTCCTCCGTCGTTTAAGGGTAGGCAACTCATCCGTTATTGCGAATGCCTATGGGCAGTGGTTGCTTCGCCATTTTGGCGTATTCAGGTGGCCGCTTGCTCGTTAACCACCTTATGATATAAAAATTGAAGGTAACTAAAAAGTTTTGCTTTTAACTGAACTGTACATCAACTGAAACACAATATTACACTTTCATATTATACCTATACCCGCTGCATTTAGATCAAAAAGAAAGGAAAACTCAGTCCAATCCATGAATAGAAACGTGAAGATGACCTACACAAAAATAAATCCAACCACCTGACTTCTAATCTAAACATCGTTGAAGCAGTTTCCAAGAATTTGCAAATATTGTAAGATGTAAACCAGATTTACGGATTATTTTTAGATACTCACGCGTCTATTTCTATTAAGAAAACTTATCCGTTTGGTTTTGTAAAAATTATTTTGATGCTAGAATCAATACATTTTATTGCGTTTTATACCTGAAGTAATTGTGACTGTGACGATGTTCCAACTATTGCAAAGTCTGTAGACGGCTCAGGTTCCTTTTGTACTTCTAAAATTTCCTGGTCACTTTCTGATCCAGATGAATCATCCAAATGTTCTACGTAGTCTTCATCTATAAAAAGTACACTAATTAATTAAATGGATTTACTGCAAAGAAATATATTAAAAAGTCTACTTCACATTAACATTTGGATTCATATCCAATGATTTGCTGGTAAAACAAATTTGTGAATGGGTCTTCTTAGTAAACCTTATAAAATAAACATATAAGAATTATGCGTACTGTTGACATCCGTATGCAGGGGCTGGTCATCTAGAGAAGTCAGCATGGGCAACGTCGACGCTATCGTCGATCGATAATCGCTCGTATGCGAAAACGAAGTCCCATTGAGAAATAAACGACGCAATGAACTGCATACGCCCAAGGTCCATACACGACTCGCCACCGTTATTGGATTACTTGACAAACAAATTTTTGAAATAAGGAAGGTTATAAAATGATTAATAATGAACGCTAAAAGCGTCCAAACGATTACATCTCCTTTCTTTTGACCTTAGAGAAGGTCAATCTTTGTTGTTAGAATTGAGGTAATTGTATTTATCTTCTTGATTGTTATCCCAAATATGACAACGCTACACTGACTTACTGATCGTAATTTAAATCATGTATCTAAGTTTTTTATTAGATACGAAAAAACGTTTAATGACACGACATAGTTAACCATGTAACTAGCAAATACAAAATGATCTCTCCTGTACTTGGACAGACTGAGCGTATGAAGTTTCTGCAGCACCGCTAGCGGATGAAGGTCACGGATGAGGTTGCCGGCCGCGTGCAGTTCCCGCAGGTGACCCACGCCCCAAACACCATCCAGAGATGTCAAGCCGCAGCGATTCACACTAAGTATCTGTTGATTGACCAATCAAACTAGTATAGGAGAAAATAATTCCCCTTAGTAACAACCGTATTCATATTTATGCACCTAATAGAATGGCTTCTCATGCACTTCTGTATTTTATGTACTTCTTACTTATATTATAAACGCAAAAGTTTAGATGAATGGATTTTTGTTAGAATTTGTAGCCTAAACGGCGGAACGAATCTCGATATAGTTTTGCAAAGATGTAGAGCATAATCTGGAAGAATACATAGGCTAGTTACTTTTGTCATTTAATAACGGTAGTCTTGTAAAGATGTATTTAGTCTTGATGAAGTGATTTTTTTTACCTTTAAGTGGTCTAAACCGATGCCAAGTTCTCGTAAAGACTGAAGAGCACTTCCATCTAAAGTGAGTGATCGCAGGCGAGGCACAAGTACGTGCAGTCTGCGCAGCCCCACGCGCTCCGCCACCACACGCAGTTTGGCTTCACGGATCCTCAACACTTCCTCATCAGTCGTCACCCCACTACACTCTTTCTATAATAGAACCTATACCCTTTAGCGAATACTTCGTATAGTCAAAGAGAAATAGAAACAAAATGTGTATAAGATACTTGCCAATAGTTCAATGAGCGTTAGTTCCCTAGGTATGACAATGCGTCTGTAGCCAGGTAGCCTACGTTCTAGCTCATCTTGCCCTGGAGGTTGTTCCGGATCTGGGGGTGGCATTGCTAAAGCCCTGTTTATTTAAAAAAATACGTAAGATTTATCTACATACCTCTTACCATAATCATAATCGAAACGTATTCCTTACTAGTCTTATTAAGTAATTTTGATACTTGTACCTGAACAAAGGTGTCGCTCGAACGTTCGGTGGTTCTGGAGAACTCGCACTTGATATTTCTGAAGGCGAGGGGGAGGCGATAATACTCGGCGTCCGAGGAGCTGAACCGAGCTCCAGACATGGCGCTTCCCTTTCTGGCATTTCCTTAAAATTAATTAGAACATAAATATAATTTCCTATGTTACTTCTCTTTAGCTATATAAAGTGACGTGTAAAGTGATAACGTGCATATTATATTATATCCAACAAGCTGAATTGAATGTAGGATCTGAGTACATCAAACTTACCTTTTATTTTTGTCAAGTTGTAGAATTTGAATATACTAAAATCGACTTTAAAACATACTACAAACTACTTTAAGTAAAAAAAATACGTCGAAATCTCGAAATCATATTCGTGTTAAATCGATACTTTGTTTACATCTTGTATTGTATTCCTGTGCTAATATAAACCTAAGTCAACGATGGATAAAGTTAAATAAGTGAAATAATTGATTGTATTATTTATTTCAAAAGTCAGATTTTCTAAATGAAACAAATCTGTTGCTCGGGGCAACGCCTTTAGTTATTATTTTCCATGCAGCGCATACAGCGTAGGCGTGCAAGGTTTACCAAAAGTTTTCGCTGCTACTTTTTATGATATATTTGCCGAAACATAAAAGCTGTAAATAGATGTAAACTTATTTAAATGTTAGGAATAAAAAAACTAAATAAACGTAATAAATTGACCATTAAAATTGTTTTTTTTTTCAATTGTTCAAAAACTAACGTATTCGTGTCTTTGACTTATCATAAAAAAGCTGTCACTTTGACAACTCAAAGTTGTGAGAATTCGGGCATTTTGGCGCCAAAACTGCAATTATTTATACATTTTCAATTACCTGGTGTACAATTTGATGTGATCTAGTGATAATTTTAACTAAAACATTAATAGATAGTTAAACTTAAACAGTATTCAATTTAGCAACAATGGAATCCAATGGAATTGATACAAAACATGATGAATACCAGTATCTTAACCTTGTGAAAGAAATTATTGATAGAGGTTTGTAAGTTATACACAGAAACACAAATCAGGGTTTGTATTGACAAGTGTGCAATAAAATAAATAATAACTTGCAGGTGACAAAAGGATTGATAGAACTCGTGTAGGTACTCTATCAATATTTGGGGCAATGCAAAGGTATTCTCTACAAAATAACAGTTTACCACTATTAACAACCAAAAGAGTTTTCACAAGGGGAGTAATTGAAGAGTTACTGTGGATGATATCTGGTTCCACGGATAGCAAAGTTCTTGCTGAAAAAGAAGTTCATATTTGGGATGCAAATGGTTCCCGAGAGTTTCTTGATAACTTAGGTTTCACTGACCGAGAGGAGGGTGTGTATAAAATGTTACAATAATATGGTAACTCGATTAGGTATCAATTAGAAAACTAAATATTTCAACATCACTGCATTATCAAGTGTTTTTTTTTTTGTCTAGGTGACCTTGGTCCTGTGTATGGCTTCCAATGGAGACACAGTGGAGCTAAATATGTTAATGCAAAGACTGATTACACTAACCAAGGAATTGATCAACTGCAGAATGTTATAAACACTATTAAGTAAGTTAAGTTATGATTTAGTTCTCATTTGGCATGTTGGACTATTAACATTAAATTCACTTACTTAGATTGAATTATGTATTCTAAACTTGAAACTGATATAAGTAAGAAAAAGTTTTTAGTACATTCTGTGCATATTTGCCTAGAATATATGTTTAGTTTTTAAAAAAATGATTGACAAGACAGACATTGCAGAGGCATTCCTACTGTTTATCAATAAAGGGAGACACATAAAATTTGATTTCCCCTACCTATGTGTCTCATCCCCTATCAAATTTAACTTATCAGATGAAACATGGAATGATTTCCACTTTATGCAAGTCTTCTATTTGGCCATAGTATTGAATAAGTGGTAAGTAGGCCATTTTTGAAACATGATATTGCATTCTACCACTAAACTATTTTTTTTTTAATCTCAGAAATAATCCAGCCGATAGGCGGATGATAATGTGTGCATGGAACCCATCAGATCTCAGTCAAATGGCGCTACCTCCTTGCCATTGTTTGGTCCAGTTCCATGTTGAGGATGGCAAGTTGAACTGCTTAATGTATCAGAGGAGTGCAGATATGGGATTGGGTGTGCCATTTAATATTGCCAGTTACTCATTTTTGACACACATGATTGCACATGTTACAGGATTAGAGGTAAGTTGTTCAAGATACTACTTTAATACTTATTTACTTATATGACTAATATCATAAATGCAAAAGTTTAGATGCGTGGATGGATGTTTGTTAGAGTTTATAGTCTAAACTGCTATATGGATCTGGGTAAAATTTAACATGGGTGTAGAGGATAGTCTGAAAGAACACATAGGACACTTCCTTTTGTATATACTTTTTTTACATTCCACATGAATGGAGACACTGGCGAAAGAATGTGATACTGAAGTGTAAACACACTTCTTTGTTATGTCGGATATCAGCAATCACAGCTAAATTTTGAATGAATCCTTTTTAATAAAAATGCCTACACATAAGACTTTTTCTATTGAGCTTAGGAAGAAATAAATTGGAAAAACCGTCATCTTGGAATAGTACAAAACCTACAAGTCAATATCAGCAAAGGAGTAAGAATGCCATATTAATAGTAATTGTTTGACAATGGCAAAGGCCTTTAATTCCCATCTACCCCCATTTCATTTAATTTGGCAAACATCAGTTATATTTAAGAGCCAAGCCTGGGCCTACTTCACTTCTTTTAAAAAAACTACTGATTTCAGTATATCTATGTAATTTGATGAAATTTAGCTATATAATTTTGTGTTGATATTATTTTTGCATTTCTCTCTTAATTTTTTTTCAGGCTGGTGAGTTTGTGCACACGACAGGTGATACTCATATTTATTTAAATCATATTGAACCATTAAAAAAACAATTAGAGAGAAAACCAAAACCCTTTCCAACACTTGAATTTGCTCGGAAAATTGAATCCATTGATGATTTCAAATATGAAGATTTTATTATTAAAAATTACAACCCTCATCCTAAAATTGAAATGGAAATGGCTGTATAAAAAGTTTAAATATGTTCTTTTTGATAGTATTTACATTTTTATTAAGTATTTTATAACTTAAGTCAATTATAGGTAAAAAGACCATTTTTGGATGGTAACAATAAAAACAACAGTATTTTTGGCTCATTAATATATTAACACAAGATATATCAAAAACTGCCAATACCATATTGATAAACTAAATCTACAAATGAAACCCCAAATAATTTACTAAATGGCATTTAAATCTTACAGTGAAAAAATTATGAAAAAATAAGTTTTTATATTTTCTATAATATTAATACAGTAACAAATTCACAAGTCTTATTGCCTTACAAATATTAAATAACTATCGTATATTACAATAGCATTTTGTACAATGTGTTTATTAGCCCCATTTTATGTTGAAACAAAGTAATATTGCTACACGAGCATAATCTCTATAACTATAGCAACCATATTACAGTATTATATTGAATAATTAAAGATGCATTTTGTAACAAATAATGGATTTCAAAGAATTATGTTATTTTCAATTCATCAACACATTTGGTCATCTTGTGATGGCACCTGAAAAAACAATGTGATAACATTAAATTTACAGCATGAAAAAATTGAAGATTAAAAAAAAATTGTCAAATTAAGTGATTACATTTTTTATGTATGCAACCTGCCATTAACTGAATCCAAGTTTACCATATCATAATATGAGCCCAATATAAAGGTACTGTTAAAGATCTTATTTTTACTAGAAATTTCTGAACGTTGATTTATAGTCATTTAATTTCATAAATCAAAAAGTTTAATTAAAAATGTAGAATGCATTTATTGAATTTTATGGCGCAAATGTTAATAAACTAGTCAGATACTGCAGGAATTTTTGATTCTTAATTAAACAGTTATTAAAGCTATACACACCTGAGACATACCCTCATCCAATCTACTACTAGGTACAGGCAGAGCTGCTAATTGATCTGCAAGTGCTAAAGTCATTTCCGACTCCACTGTTACCTCTGACCATAATGTATCTGAAATGGGAACAAGATAAACTTATATCTATGCAAAAATAAACAAAACTTGATGGGATGCATTAGTACATGAAAATTGAAGCTGAATAAACAAAAGTTCAAGGTACTACAATGTTTTTTTCACTTGCATAGGTTTCCTTCTAATGTGAGTTTCTCGCTTATATAGATTGGGATCAGACAATGACTCCAATTTAAAGAGGTTTATTGCTTGTCTAGGTTCAACTATTACTATTTGTACAGTAATTAATATTTAAATATTGTAATTAGTAAAACTTAACAGTTGAATTGTACTTGTACACATTTGAGTTTTTGTTTGAAAGTCTGAGTAACAAAATAAATTGTCAAAATACTAATAAAAAATTATGGAATTTCAGCTACATCTAAAATTAAATTTGATAGATTATGAGCCATTAGCAACAAATCATTTTCATATTTACCTCCTATTTGATCACCTTTGTCAGTCACTACATGGAAAAAACTTCTATGTGTACCGGGTGTATTGGGTGCTTTTAAGTGCATGGTCACAGTAACCGAGTGTCCCGGGGGCAAGGCAGGAAGGTATGCCGGAGATCCACCAAAATGTTCCCCCGCATGGATCAGTCTACAGCTGCCGGGCCATGTTTCTGCTCCTGAATTGGTAATACTCCAGCTTTGTTCAAAACTGTAATCAGAAACTTTAACATTATCAGCTTTTTGTTTTAATGAAATTACTAATTGAACATACAGATATGCAAAATTGTCATGTAAGTTAAACTGCAAAATGTTAAATTCTGTCAATAAAGAATAAATTATTGTAGACAAAAGTCATAAAAGCTTAAATATAAAACAGAATGAAAATTGTTTTACTTTTGAATCTTACCAAGAACCTGGACTAACTGCAGTTTCCGGATTTTGAGCACTCTTTACTGACATGGATGGAAGTTTTGGAGGTAAACTGTAGTCTAAATAACAACAAATAGCAGCTTGTAGGTTCCTGAGGAAGATTAAATGATTAAATTAAAATGTAGTTTAACAATATCAAGGAATATAAAATACTTCAAATTGTTATTTACCAGTTACTCATATCCAGAAAGAAACTTGCTGTATTATAATTTAAACTGGGGCCCAACAATCTCTGCATTTGTCCTATCAATTCTTCCCGGTCAGTTGTATTCATACAACTGAACTGTAATAACAAATTTTGGTCTATCTCCCCAGAAATAGCTGAACCATCCACATCCATTATGCTTGATATTGTCACAACGCACTTTTGTGTTCCACTGTTACTGCTATTGACATTCCCTTTGTTTACGTACGACAGCTGATGTAAATTTCTCGGTAAAATGTATTCTCTTAGTACTTTGAAACAAAAAACAATGAAAGCATAAAGCCACTAGAATTATATATGACAGAAAATATATGTCATGCGAGTATGTCGTAATTTTATTGTGAAAAAATCATCCGAATGAAAGGGCTATGATGTAAATATGGCGGATTATAATGGCCTCCCAAGATGGCGGCTTATTTACGACAGCAGCGCCAAAACGGAATATATGAGCTTTGGATATAGTGAAACAAGAATATCTGGCCCGATGAGACAGGCTCTGCTATCGCAGTCAGTTTTGTCAGAAAACGGGTATTCGTTAAATTAGAAAAAAAGTATAAAAACCAAGTAGCTACAGAAAATGGTATGAAATATAAAAAAAAATGTTGAAAGCTGCCCTACAAAAACGACCTAGTGACAATTTTTTGTCGTTAACAGGGGGAGCGCTAGTGAGTTTGACCTATACCTACCAGGCCAAATATCCTTGTCGGTCTATAACATTCGCAAAAATCTGAACAATTGTATTGACAGCTGTCATTGCCATGCTGCATGCCATGCCTTACCATGCCAATGTCAATCCATTGCCAATGCCATTGTTGAACTTAAAATTGAAATTAAAAACTATTCCCTATCCGATTTCAAACATAGAGGATAGCACATTATTTGATGTTTTATGTGGATTTCAAATCGCACTTTGAATACTTGCAGTCGTTTTTTGTCGTAAATAGTAGTTTAGCTAATTAATAAGTTGAACAAGATTGTTGTTTCGGTGTTTTTTAATTACTTTATATGTGAGAAATGTTATGCTTTCTAAAGAACAGTTTTTCTCGTTTAACGAAATTATAAAACATACTAAGATGTAATTTATAATGCTATAAATAAAATTAGTTAATTTGCAAATTTTCTAAAATGTCCAGTAAAGACGCAAAAATATATGTCTGCAATCATGCTGGTTGTAACAATAAATACAATAGACCATATAGACTAGAACAACACTTGCTAAGTCATTTAAATATAGTAAGTTATAATACTAATTATATTTTTTCTATCTAATACAAACATATTTTTTAGTTTTTATTGTGTTCCAGAAACCTTTTCAATGCTCATGGGATAATTGTAATAAAGTTTATTCAAACAAAAGTCATTTGAATCGTCATATAGCAAGTGCGCATGAAAAAGAAAAAAAGAACATTATATACAGGTATGTGTAAATTCAAATTAATTTTATGTATCTAATATGAAAGATAAAATAAAAATTGTCAAAGATATTGGAAGTATTTATCAAATAAACACTTCACTAATTGTTCCTTTTTATTTACAGTTGTCCAGAATGTTTTAAAACTTATTCAAATAGACAAAATCTAAAGAAACATATAAGACAAAAACATGTGGTTAATTTACCATTTGTGTGTGATTATTGCAAAGCACAATGTAGGAAAAAGCATCAATTGAGTGCTCACATGCATATGCATAATGGAGTTAAAGCATTCAGGTTACAAAATTCTTCATATAAATTAAATAAAACAGCTTTCACTTATCATTTCTGCACCTACGGAAACTTCAAATATGTCTTCTGTAATCCTCAATAAGTTTTCTAAGAGAGATAAAGAAATGTTTTAATATAACTTGATTTTAAATTACAGCTGTGAAATATGTTCAAAAGAATTTGTAACACTCTATGAAAAGAAAAGACATATGAGATGCCACAAAACATATACCTGTGATGTATGTTCCTTCACATTTAATCAATGGTCCAGGTATCAAAAACATAGAAAATCAGAACATTGTGCCAAAAGTATGTACAATACACTAGATTCACCTTATTGTGTGTAATCCCAATGTAATTAAAGTCATTTGTAGTTGTATAAATTGTAAATGTTTATAATAAATAATCTATTAAATGCTGTGTTACAGAATATATTTGTGATGAATGTGGAAGAGCTTATACTCAAAGGATTCATATTATCCGACATTTAAAGATTCATTCTAATTCTGAAAACATAAGAAGAACATTTGCCTGCCCTTATTCTAACTGCTTCAGGTATCTGCATAAATGTTAGAAACCCTCTTTCCATTCATTCTAAACATTGTAAACTGTGCTAATTTTGTTTTCATATCTTTTTCCAGGCGGTATTCAAGAAACAGTAATCTGACGCAACATATATTAGTAAAGCATAAAAAAATCAAACATATTTGTAACATTTGTCAAGCAGAATATAGCAGTCAGGTAATTTGTTTTTCAATTGCAGTCAAGATTATAAAACGGATTTTGTTACTTTTTCATATATCTTTATTTCTTATTCTCTATATAATACATTTTACAAGATTTGATATAAAAATAAAATAAAACATATTATATAAAAAATAGAGCACCACCGGCTGCGGAATCCGATGACTCAAGCAACCAGTGGTCAGGGCTGCAGAGACAGGAACCTCCTCACTATTCGTGCGGTTTCTAAAATAACCGCCTTTTGAATCGGACCCTTATTCCAACTGTCCAGTGAGAGCTTCTTGAGGTGTTCATTGTGGTAATTATTAATTTTTTTTCTAGGCAAAACTAAATGAGCATCTGATAGTACATGAAAATGGAGTTGTGCCTAAAAGAAAAGTAAAATCTTTAGCAACTGGACGTAAACAACGAAAGGATAAGGATACCTTAAAAGTGACGACTGCACTTAAACTAGCTGGATTAACTGAAACCGACCTTAATGAATGTAAAATATTGAAAGATAGACAGTAATAAAAATGACTTAATTAAAAGAAACGTTAAATATTGATTCTTTTTTTTTTCTTTAGAATTTTGATTTTTACACTTGTTAGAATCTCATATGAAGAATTATTAAACAAAAAGAAATCAAACCCTGCAGTTTGTTATAAAATTAAGCCTTCGCCATTTGTATGATTGTTTGTTTATACAATTTATTGATTAAAGGCAAAAAAATATATGGCATTACTTCAATCATTGCTGTACTTCTTAATTTGACTTATTCTGATCGCAGCCTATCAAATAGTATTTTAGACATATAGCAATACATGCAACATTGAATGACAAATATCACGCTGACAGATGTAAATATCAGCTGTAATTTCGAATCAAAATCTCGTTATTCCACGCACGCAGACTTTAATTTCTTACAAGAAATACAAAATACCATAATAAGTAATACTGATAATTGTTTTGGCCTTGTACATAAGTATACAACTTGATGTATCTGATACCATTCTGAAATAGATCTTTAGTCAATATTCTTTATTAAATAAAACAGACGATACAAACACAATTAAGACAGTAAATACCAAGACAAGATGGACTTCACCTTAAATATTTTCACCTTGAATTGCTGGTAAATATGACTTGTCTTTGTTCATAAATGTAGAACACCACAAAATAGATTTGTAAACGATTTTATTGAATATTTCAGGGGAATACCGGCAGTATCAAAAAATAGAAAAGAAAGAATAGAAGCTATTGCAAAATATCTTATGCAAAGTTCTCATACAATTGTGTGCCTTCAAGAGATATGGAGCGAAAAAGATTATTTATTTTTAAAAGATAGCCTTAAAGAAGTTCTTCCTTACTCTCATTACTTTTATAGGTAAATAAAATCTTGAATTATCACAGTCCTAGCTATACTATATTTTCTAGAGCACTACTCTATTGTATCCCTGTATAATAGAAACTTACTGCTTGTTGATTTATCTTGCATGAATTCTTTTAAGCTTTTTATACTAATTTCTTAGAAACAGCACTTTTACTTTTGTAAATATCAATTTACATATGTTTCAGTGGTGTTCTGGGATCGGGTTTGTGTGTATTTTCTAAATGGCTGATTCAGGATGTGTTTTTCCATCAATGGCCGCTCAATGGTTATATTCACAAGATACATCATGGTGATTGGTTCGGAGGGAAGGGGGTTGGCCTATGTAGAATTATATATGAAGATAAATTAATAAATGTATATTGCACACATGTAAGTTATTTTATAATAATACTAGATTTCGCCCGCGACTCCGTCCGCGCGGAATAAAAAATTAAATGCAAGTAGCCTATGTGTTTTTCAGACTATCCTCCATCCATCTAAACTTTCGCATTTATAGTATTAAGTAAGATTGTAGATAATTTTTAGTATATGTTCATAGATGAAAGATAAAGACTCCATATCTAGTTGAATTAAGTTTATCACTCATTTTTGTAGCTTTTAACCCTTTTAGATTTTAGGTAAAAAATGGTTATAAATATAAAAAAACAATCCTCTACAGTTAAAGTACAATAATAATTTTACATAATACCTTTTTGGTCCCTTAATTATTGCAGACAGCTATTTTACACCTTAAAGTTAGCTGCTTACTCTTTTGACAATAGATAGTAATATGAAATCTACATTTATTTGTACCTTTCTTTTTGCAGCTGCATGCAGAATATCATGAAGATGATATGTACTTAGCACACAGGGTGCTGCAAGCATACTCCACTGCGGAATTTGTTAACCTTACCACATGTCCTGCTGATGTATCCATACTTGCGGGAGATTTGAACACTGCTCCCGGAGATCTGTCTTTCAGGTATAATCTGTCTTTAATTATCTATACTTCTATACTAATGTGATAAAGAAGAAAGATTTGTATTTTAATATGTATTGAAATAACTCAAAAACTACCGGGCCGATTTAAAAAATTCTCTCAACATTATAAAGATACATTAACAGTGAGTAACATAGGCTATGTTTTTATTATTTTTAAATTTCACACGGGAGCAGTCGCAAGTACGACTAGTTATTTATAAGCAAATTTGACCTATCCAATAAAAAGAGTTGAAAATTGTTGAAAAGTACAAGATTATTATTGCATGGATTGATTTTAGTCAATACCTTAAATATTGAAGTTCATTTGTGATAAAAAACAAAGGTAATGAATTATTTAATTCTTATTGAAGAAAAAAAATGCTTTTTATCCATAATTTGAACTTTAACCTTTTATATGTGTTATCATTTTTGATACCCAGTTAATTTTATCATACTATGGAACTATTATTACTACTATTATTTTTTATTGATATATGTCAAACTATCTTATCGTCACCCACACGGAATTTAAAAAATCTATAATTAAGTACAGTTCGTTAGTGATATTAAAACCATTTTTTTAATTAGCCCACTAGTTTTAAGTTTATTTCTAACATAAAAAAGTAAAAATCTTTACTCTTTATATTAGTCTATATTGATATCATAAAGAGGAAATATTTGTATTTAGTATGTATTGTAATAATTCAAAAACAACTGGACCAATTTCAAAAAATCTTTCACCATTAAAAAGCTACATTACATAGGCTATGTTTTTTAATTTCAACATCTTGTAATAATATTATAAAGAGGAAACAAATGATTCCTAATGTTACTCAAGAGGTTTAATTTATTTTTAGGTTATTAACACAGCTGCCAGTATTATTGGATCCTTACATTATGAAGTGTGAGGGCAACAATGCTGCCATTGCCAAAGCGTCCGGTACATGCGATAATATCAACAACAGTTATTCCGATGCAAAGATGACTAAAACTGCACCAGAAGGGAAGAGAATTGATCATATACTTTTCAAACTGAGTAATTCTTGGGAGGTAATTTTAATTTAATGTTTAATTACTGTTTTTAATGTGTGATACTTATTACAAGGAAACAGTTTTATTTAAGTATTTTCAAAATAAAGAGGACCATAGATTTAAAACCTAAAGACAGACGTAACCTGGGATTTTTAAACATATTTTTGTACAAATATCAAGAAACTACACCGACAAAAGTTCCCATAAGCCATTTCTCCCTCTCACTTTTGACCTCCAGTTTAGGAATATATAGATTATACAGTAACATAAAAGACCTCATCAATACATTTTAGTTTATTATCAGAATTTCTCCAAATCAGGTTTATTTTAAAATTGTTTTGTTTTCTAGGCTGATGTTGTGAATTTCGGAAATCCATTGGAAGACAGAGTACCGGGTGAAGAATTTTCTTATTCCGATCACAATGCTGTTTCTTTGGAATTAAGGATCAGAGAGAGTGCTGATAAAAAAACAAGTCATAGACAACAAAGTGCTGAAGATCGGTTCGATAATACTATTGATCAAGCTATAAAAGTATGTGAAGACGCTAAAATAACTATAACAAAATCGAAACGTTTATTTCTGACTTGCGGTGGACTTCTATTTATGTTTCTTCTAGGTACGGTAGGTTTTTGGCCCAATAATGTATTCGCTGATTTCATTAAAATTGTCATAACAGGTCTTTGTTTCTATTACATAATTATGGGAACACTTTGGAATAAAATTGAAATGAACAGTCTCAAAGCTGGTTTGAGCGCTTTGGAAAATTTTAATAGAACAAGAAATGAATTAAAATGTGTCGATAAGATTTAAAGGATAACTTTTGTTATGGCTAAAAATAAATAATAATCTAACATGTAAAGTTATTTAAATTAAGCTATAGACATATTTAAATAATCTGTTAATAAAAGGCTTCGTATTACATATCTGAATAATTTAATATTCATAATATAGTTACCTCAGAGGCTTTATATTAGGCTAGATATATGAATTTTTATAATCTTTTATCTTGATATTTATTAAGAAGAGATCGCAGAGGAATGTTCTAGATATTCCTTTCAAGATAAAACAAATAATATGAATAATGCAATTTTATATGATGTGTTATGTAAAAGAGTAGTTTGTAAGGTGTGCCAGAAAAAGGACAAATAATAATCAACCTAGTTTCTGTTTTGCGATATTACTGTGATGTCTCCATAAGGCATAAAAACATAAACTAAAAATACCTCCAAAGTACATAAAAATAGATGTAAACTAGTGCAATAAGACAATATAATGGCATGTTATTAATTTTGATTTATTATAGTACAATAAACTTATGCTCAGTATTATATAGAAATAAGGTTTAATCTTCAAGTGAAATAATACTTAATTTGATTTACTATTAAGCCATTTAATTCAATTATGTTTGGGACCATTTTAAGTCATAAAGCATATTGACTGTTTATGTACATTGTGCTCTATTTATTAAGTAGTAAATACTAAATAATTACTAATGTATGCTTAATAATGATTTTTTAAATAAATGTATATTCACATGTAACTTTTATTTTTCACGTCTGGTAATTTCATCAAAGCGACTAAAATTGATTATTACATCATAATAAAACACTATTATTATAAAAATCATTTATTTTAATAATCGTAATAACATAAACATATTAAATATCTGTATTTAAATGTTGTTTTAACAATAAAGTGCAATATCACAACTTAAAATGCATACAAGCAATACATAATAGTAAATTTTTGACAACAAAACATTAAAAAAACATGTATGCGATTTTATATGCAACTATCATATATATACATCATATATAAGGTATATCACAATTAAACAAGTTATATTATGTATATATATTTCTTATAAACTATCTAGATCTGATGACTAGCTAATTTATATAGTAATTTCTGTGATTTCATGCAAATACAATTTATAATACATCAAACAGATGAAATTGTATTGTCACTGCTAAAAAATAAACAAT